TTAGGCCCACCTCCCTCGAAACAACAAAAACGACAAAATTTGGCTCTCGTGCAGGTAAAACGCACTTTTTGCAGCAACTTGACTCCTTGCAATTCTCCCCAAAGAGCAAATTTTACTCTAATTTACAGTGTTTTTTGCACCTCCTCAACACCCATTTGGAACCCCAAAATCTGCAAACCAGTCCGGAAGAAAACGGAAACCGAGTCAGCAAGGGGCACAGCGTAACAAAATACACCCCAAATGAATCTTAATAACGTTACTCTCCCGTTGGGGTTGAAAAAATGCTTCTACATTGCTCCGAAGGCAATTTGTTCACGGTATTTACAGTGTTTTTTGCACATCACACATCCCAAAGGCTGCATGCAACATAGCACCAAAAATTCAAAAATTGACCTCCCATGCAGGAAAAATGGTCTTAGACAAACCCAACATAGCCCTCCAAGACCTCAAAATAAAAAAGCCCCCGTATCGCGTCAACGCACATCTTCCTTTAGGTCTTTATGTTGATGCCAAAAAGAACGTTCTAGTTCTAGCACACTTGGCTCGAAATAGCCGCATATGGCCTTATAGCCCTCCAAGATCTCAACATAGCCCTCCAAGTGGCCCAATACGCCTATAGGCCCAACATAGCCTTGAAATGACCCAACATGGCCACTTGGGCCAAGATAAGCCCAACATATAGCCCTCCAACTGACCCAATATGTTGTAGGGCCGAACATAGGCCCACTTGGGCCCTATCCTGCGTCTGTCAGGGTCAAGTGATGGGGCTTTGTTTTGCAATGTACTATTTTGTTGGCTTATCTTTCCGTTCCCCAAAATACACCCCAAATGAATCTTAATAACGATACTCTCCCGTTGGGGTTGAAAAAAATGCTTCTACATTGATCCGAAGGTTTCACGGTATTTACAGTGTTTTTTGCACATCACACATCCCAAAGGCTGCATGCAACATAGCACCAAAAATTCAAAATTTGAGCTCCCATGCAGGTTTACGCGAACGCATGCCCGCAAACATGCGCAAGAAGCAATTTTTCCTGTAATTTACAGTGTTTTTTGCACATTTCCAACACCGATTTTGACCCCCAAAAGTCTGCAAATCACCGTGCCCCCCCCCCCCCCCCCCCCCATGGCTACCGCAGAAAAAACGTCTCAGCGTTTCCAACGCTTTCCGTCATCTGTACCGCCCCCCCCATCACCTACACCGGAGGAAAACTACTATAGCCAAACGCACGTGAAAACTTATTTGTGGCAGCTCCTGTTGGGTTGCTACGGTCATTTTATTTCTGAACCAAGTGGATGCAGCGGCCCAACACTCGTCAAACCGGGCCCTCGCACTCACCTACACCGTCCTTCCCCAGTAGCCCCTTTTCTAGAGGAGGAAAACTAATACAGCCAAACGCACATGAAAACTGATTTGTTGCAGCTACTGTTGGGTTGTTTGGGCCTAAGTTCACTTTATTTTTGTTGGGACTATGTTTGGTTTTGTTGAGTTGTCTTGGGCCTATGTTGGGTTTCGTTGGGTTGTCTTTGGCCCATCTTGGGACTATGTTGCCTCCCCCGGGTTGCTTCGGGCCTACGTTTACTTTATTTTAGGTTTACGTTGGACCATCTTGGGATGTCTTGGGCCTATGTTGGCCCATCTTGGGACTATGTTGGGTGTTGCTGAGGTCAATGTTGCGCCATCTTGGCTCTCTGTTGGCCTATCTTGAGGCCATCCTGGGACTATGTTGGGACCATGTTGGGTTTTGTTGGGTCGTCTTGGGCCTATGTTGCCCATCTTGGGACTATGTTGGGCGTTCCTGGGTTCTATGTTGGGACATCTTGGCTTTGTGTTGGCCTATCTTGGGGCCCTTTTGCGCCGTCGTGGGACTATGTAGAACGAAGAAAGGACATCAAAGTGCAAAGAAGCCAGTTTTTCACGGTATTTGCAGTGTTTTTTTACACATAGCACGTTTTAGGCCCACCTCCCTCGAAACAACAAAAACGACAAAATTTGGCTCTCGTGCAGGTGAAACGCACTTTTTGCAGCAACTTGACAGCTCCCATGCAGGAAAAATGGTCTTAGACAAACGCAACATAGCACCCCAAGACCTCAAAATAAAAAAGCCCCCGTATCGCGTCAACGCACATCTTCCTTTAGGTCTTTATGTTGATGCCAAAAAGCACGTTCTAGTTCTAGCACACTTGGCTCGAAATAGCCGCATATGGCCTTATAGCCCTCCAAGATCTCAACATAGCCCTCCAAGTGGCCCAATACGCCTATAGGCCCAACATAGCCTTGAAATGACCCAATATGGCCACTTGGGCCAAGATAAGCCCAACATATAGCCCTCCAACTGACCCAATATGTTGTAGGGCCGAACATAGGCCCGAAGTGGCCCAATATAAGCCCAACAAAATCGTAAATTGCCAAACAAAACCCCCAACTTGACCCTGAATCTGAAATGACGCAGGATAGGCCCAAAATACACCCCAAATGAATCTTAATAACGTTACTCTCCCGTTGGGGTTGAAAAAATGCTTCTACATTGCTCCGAAGGCAATTTTTTCACGGTATTTACAGTGTTTTTTGCACATCACACATCCAAAGGCTGCATGCAACATAGCACCAAAAATTCAAAAATTGAGCTCCCATGCAGGAAAAACGCGTTTTTTTAAGCGAACCCATCCCGGCAAACATGCGCAAGAAGCAATCTCTCTCGTTGGGGTTGAAAAAATGCTTCTACATTGCTCCGAAGGTTTCACGGTAGTTACAGTGTTTTTTGCACATCACACATCCCAAAGGCTGCAGGCAACATAGCACCAAAAATTCAAAAATTGAGCTCCCATGCAGGAAAAATTGCCTTAGACAAACCCAACATAGCCCTCCAAGACCCTCAAAATAAAAAAGCCCCCGCATTGCGTCAACGCACATCTTCCTTTAGGTCTTTATGTTGATGCCAAAAAGAACGTTCTAGTTCTAGCACACTTGGCTAGCCACATATGGCCTTATAGCCCTCCAAGATCTCAACATAGCCCTCCAAGTGGCCCAATACGCTTGCACATGACCCCAGATAGGCCCAACATAGCTTTGAAATGACCCAATATGGCCACTTGGGCCAAGATAAGGCCAACATATAGCCCTCCAACTGACCGCATATGTTGCAGGGCCGAACATAGGCCCGAAGTGGCCCTTTTTTTAGCCCAACAAAATCGTAAATTGCCAAACAAAACCCCCAACTTGACCCTGACATGACGCAGGATAGGCCGAAAATACACCCCAAATGAATCTTAATAATGTTACTCTCCCGTTGGGGTTGAAAAAATGCTTCTACATTGCTCTGAAGGCAATTTTTTCACTCATGATCCTCCGGCCGTCCGGCCAGCCCAGCGGATCAGCGGATCAGCGGATCAGCGGATCAGCGGACCAGCGGACCAGCGGACCAGCGGATCAGCGGATCAGCGGACCAGCGGACCAGCGGATCAGCGGATCAGCGGATCAGCGGACCAGCGGACCAGCGGATCAGCGGATCAGCGGATCAGCGGATCAGCGGCCAGCGGACCAGCGGATCAGCGGATCGGATCAGCGGATCAGCGGATCAGCGGACCAGCGGACCAGCGGACCAGCCAGCGGATCAGCGGACCAGCGGATCAGCGGATCAGCGGATCAGCGGATCAGCGGACCAGCGGACCAGCGGATCAGCGGACCCAGCGGATCAGCGGACCAGCGGACCAGCGGACCAGCGGATCAGCGGACCAGCGGACCAGCGGATCAGCGGATCAGCAGACCAGCGGACCAGTGGACCAGCGGATCAGCGGTTCAGCGGAGTAGCAAATCAGTGGATCCGTGGATCAGCGGCTCGGCGGACCGAACCAAGAGATCCACGGATCAGCTCGTCCACGGATTCTGCAAAGTGCTATCTTTTTGTACTTGTCAACTACTTTCCACACACGCGCCTTTCTTCCGCTCATTGCAGGCTCATTCTCCAAGAAATTGTACCTTTGACAAGTTAGTGCATGTCATCAGCAACATCATGATTTACGTCATGTATGTCCTTCTGGCAGCCATCATCCACATTGTCTGACGTTTGGGATCTGTTGTTTGAGGAACCTTATCCTACTCTGAGCGTTGTCATTCAGAGTTGGATGTGCGGCCTGAGGTCATCATCCCTTCCTCTTCGCTGTCCGGTTTGGCAATTTCACCAAGGCGGGCAACCCTCGAGGAGGGCTACAATTCTCACCGCAACACAAATACATGTGCATGCATGCCATCAGCAACATCATGATTATATCATGTATGTCCTTCTGGCAGCAATCCTCCACATTGTCTGACGTTTGGGATTTGAGGAACCTTATCCTACTCTGAGCGTTGTCATTCAATGTTGTTTGTGCGGCCTGAGGTCATCCCTTCCTCGTCGATGTCTGGTTTGGTAATTTTCACCAAGGCGGGCAATCTTCCAGTGGTGCGGAGGAGGCTACAAGTCTCACCGCAATACAATGACATGCGCAAGCACGCGCAGCACTTTTGGTGCAACCATTGCAGGCTTACTTGTCAAGGGATTGTATTGGCTTCACACGGCAATGAAATGTGCTTCTAGCAGCCAGATTGTCCAAAGCTGTGAGGAAGATTTGGTGTTATACCCTACTCTGAACATTGTCATTCCCCAAGCCTGTGCGGCCTGAGGTCATCACATCCTCGTTCCCCTTTGGTCCCTTTACTTGTTCTTTGGAAATTTCACGAAGGCGGGCAATTCTGCTGCTGCTGCGCAGGGCTGCAATTTTCAGAGCAACAAGCATGTGCAGCATTTTTGATGCAATCGCTGCAGGCTTACTTTTCAAGGGACTGCGACTTCATATGGCAATGACGAATCGCGAATTCTTTTGCAAATAATATCTCATGAGTCACGAGTGTGCTTCTGCCAGCCATCTTGGACATGACCCACTCAAAACTTGTTAAGACAGTCAATCGCAAGACGCATCCTCAAAATTGTCCGTACCAATCATGGCGGCTGGGTCGACTCATGCTGCGCTGCGGCGATCATTCGAGAAGCCGACCGGTAGATTGCCTGGCGGCGGAATTATCTCCGCTGATTGAAAATCTTGCAGCCGTGTACGGAAGAGAAACTGACCTCAAGGAGTTGCTACCTTTCCCTATACATTGCCCGGCTTGTCAGAATCCGCTTGCTGAATGCAGAAGCTCGGCAGCTGCTGCAATCATAGTCGACCTGGCTGGCATTGTGGAAAAGCAGCATGTCCCATTACGCTGCAGGCGTCCATCCTGCCCTGGCTTTGGGGTGCTGTATTGGCACAACTACAGGGTGCCTGAAGGGCGGCACGTTTTTCATGGAAAGCTACCAGGCTTCCGTTGCTTCATGCTATCTTCTGTTTTTGGCTTTAGTGTGCCGTGGCTTCAGCAGTTCCATGCTGGCCTGGTCAGGCAGCACGCGTCATTCACTAGTGAAGCGGATGTGCTCACTGCGCAGGCTGCCCGCCTACGTCTGCTCATCAGCCAAGGTTGGTATACATGGCGCCTTCTCACAAGGGCACTGGGGGCAGATCTGAACCTGTCTGAGATGGACTTTTTGAAGCCTTTGGAAGACATGGTGGCCCTTTTCTTGCCGCAGTTGCAACACACATTTGGACAGAATATGTTGCAGGCAGCACAAGAAGCAGGCATGCGCTGCGATGTGGTGGTCCTCGATGGCAACGCCAAGAATCGGAGGGCTGTGTGTGCAGCAGCTTTGGCCGGCTCCTCTCATTCTGAGCATCTCCCGCGCACCTTGCGCCACACCTGCACCAGGACGTCGGCCTTCCGCCATGCTTTTTGCCGTTGGCATTGCGAAGGACCTATGGACGGAGAAGATCACCTTCAGGTGCAAGGGCTGGGTCATTGTCATTTGTGTTGCTTTCTTCTGGCTGAAAAAATGTGCCCTTGTCTTAGACCCCAACTTCAGGATGTGGAGATTGTGCACCACACGGTGGTCAATGATGGGCAGCAGCTTATGGTTTTGCTGAAGAGACCATGGAGCCTCAGAGAGAGGCTTGGGTTTCGGATGCATGTGTTCCTGCAGCAGTTTTGTCGAAATATGTGCGACAAGTAGGCCAAGAAAAGCTCAAGCCTCGCAAGCGGTCACATGAGGATCAGTCGCAAAGCCTTGGCGAAGCATCTTCTCCATATTGCCATCAGCTTCTCGGCCTGCGGGGACAAACAGTCCTGCAGACCTGCAGCAGCTCTCAGACTCCACAGATCTCATGTCGGTCACCTGTTCTACGCACAAAGAAAGCACAGCTGCCCAAAAGCAGCTTAAAAAGTCTGCCGGAATGCTGTGCGCGTGTTTGTCGGACGGTGTAATCTTGCACATGCAAGAGATCTATGGCTGCGAATCTCTAAGCCAGCGATACATCTGCGTTGCCGCCGTCAAGGCATTGATGCCGTCCCCTTGTGTAGTCGTGCATGATGACGCTTGTCACTTGCACAAATATGTGGCCCGCAGGGCAAAGGACAGAAGGGTTGCATGTCTGTTGCTGCGGGATATATATATATATATTGTAACTATTGGACCTGGGCAATCAATAGTATGCTCTGGAAGCAAACCTTGAAACCAAACCTTCAGCCCGAACCAGATATGTGTCGGAGTTAAATGAACTAGATTGGCCCTGCAGGATTCAGCAGCTGCCGCTGGCATAGCCCCGCCAAAGCTGACCTACGTATGCGATAAGTTTCACATGGCCGGACACACAGACGCCTGGTGCAGGAAGACTTGTGATCCGGACCTGCCGGAACATGCTTCTGTTCTGAAAGAGATTATATAGAACATCAGTGTGCGAGTTTACCTTCACTTGGCTCAGCAAGTATAAGCACCAAACAAAGCACATGAATGAATATGGCTTCAAATTCTTCCTCTTGGACATGGCGTGGAGCCACAACGAAATCATTTTGCAAGGAGGTTATCGGCCAGAGGAAGTGGCAGGATCACTTAGTGCTGAACGCGCTAGAAAAAACATTGTGGTCTGATCTTGCAAGTACCGGGCTGCATGCTGTTAAGTCTGCATCCCAGTCGTTCGATCATGTCCCTGCGCATGTGCAAATGTGCTTGTCCATCCTACTTGCTAACTATGCTGCAGTGTTTTTCGCTCATCACGGGTGCAGAATCTTGTAGTGGTAAGTTCCACCGCCATGTCTGGAACCCATGAAGATAGACAGAACATACCGGCCATGAAGCTCATGTGGAATGAAGTAGACGCACGCTTTGATCCAAAGTATGTGCTTGGGGAAGCTGGCCATCGCTTCTGCCAAACATATTCCGTGAGAGCTGCCCATCCAGAATTTCCTTACGCCCTGCATTGTTTGTCAATGATGTGTGCTCTGGTCAATGGGGCTCGTGTTGCTGTCTTTCCCACATCCCAATCGCCTCTTGTGGCCATCAATGTGAACTATGCCCAAACGAGAAAATCGTCCATGACAGGCCACGCAGAAACCCTGGGGCAAACGTTGGATGCTGTCATCCTGAAGGCAGTGGAATCAAGATTGGAAGAGAGCTTGCCAGAGCCGGCAGTGCAAGATGGATTGCCAGGTGGGCCTTCCGGAGGGCTTCGAAGGCCGGGCTTATATATATATATATATATATACACATTTTTCGTCGATGAGATGTTTGACCCTTGTAATGCTTTAACTTTGTGTAAAAGCACGGCAAATTTAATGACAGTTTGCATGACAACTTTTTTGTGTCCTTGCCCACTTTCAGCGCAGGTATTTGCGGCCAAAAGTACTATCAGCTACAGTGGCCAGCTCCACGCCAGAAGAATGGTTTCATCGTTGCTCCGGAGACTGGGACCAAGTCCGGAACGCGGACAAGTTGCCAGGTGACTTCTCGGGCCGGTGTTGGTACGGCTTACTCGGCAACTTTGATGAAGCCTACGACTTCTTGCTCAGTCTTGGGCTTTTGTCAGATCCCAGCACATCTTCCAAGGACAAAGCAAAATCGAAGGTGAACCCGTACCAGAGCGCTTTCAACAAGCTGCTGCAATTCGGCTCCAGCGTCAGAGCCACGAAAACAGCAGGCAGCTAGGGTGAAAGGCCTGACCGGACAATAAGCATGGGAATCACCTGCAACATGCACCCGGCGCAGTACATTCCAATGGAAAGGGGCGAAAAAGGTTCCTCGTTGCAGTTCAATTCTGCCACACGTCTCATCAAAAGTCTTGCATTTTCTTGCTTTTCTGGCACGTCTATCGCTCCGTTGACTGCGCAGGAGCTTCGCGGCACCACTGGGTCCCCCTCACTCCTGACATTGCTGAGTTTATCGGCGTTGCCAAAGAAGCGGCATCTCCGCTCAGGAATGGCGCGAGGCCGGCTTCGCAGATGCAGGCGTCGTGCAGCTCACGCAGAATGCTGCCCGGGAGTACGTGCCATCAGAAGAGGGATATACCCAGTTAGGCTTTTGGATGGCAAGCTCAGCCGGCTCCGTTTCAAGCGTGACCAATCCGCTCCAAACGGCTTTGAGCAGCCAACCGCAACTTTGCCATTCCTGAGGAATGTTCCATTCATACAGCAGTGGCCCGACTGACGGCATACTTCTCAGGGCCGCACCAAGTCATCACTCTCACTGCGGAAGCAGAGTCGTGGCACTTGTCCTACCAGGGCGCCATGAATGTTCAGAGCCATGTCGTTCGTGAGCCTGGGGACGTGCAAGCTGGTGCTCGTTTTGGTGCAGCTCCTTGGCAAGTAGGCGTCCTGGCAGCCTTGCTCTTGGTATTCGAGATCTTTGTTGGGGCCCATTCCGTTGAAGCTCTTCAAGCAAAAGCTTTGCAGGTCACTTCTCAGCATTTGCAACGTGCCTACGCTGTTCTCCATCTCGTCCTCTAGCGGATTCAAACAATTTTTCCTGTTCATGCGGATATGTTTGCTGCTCTAATAATGCTTGCCAGCTTTGGACTTTGGCGTTGAAATTGCAGAACATGACTTTGCCACTCTTGCCTGTAAGGTTCAGAGGTTGAAGCAGATTGCACTCGGGGATGCTGCCACAAGCCCAGACAATGCCCCGCCGCTGGAACAAGAGGCTTCCTTTGATGTGGGCTCTCTACGTGTTCCATATGATGAACATGCTTTTGCACCTGCAACGCAGCCGCGGAGACCAGTCGATGAGAGTGAGGATGAGGATGATGAAGGGGACGCGGGAGAAGTTGACATGGAGCCACCCCAAGAGCCTGCTGAACACTTGGCCCAGCCGCCCCAGCCACCCCATGGATACGGAACCCGCAGCTTTAACTCTGCGAGATGTTCGTGCCAGTGATTATGGTTTTGTTGACTATCCGCCACTTGACCGACAGGGCAATTTTGAAGCAAACGCTTCTGACAGGGAAGCCCAAGGTCACGTGCAAGGAGGCTTGTGACAAGATGCGCAGCTTCCGACACGCAGGTCGCAAGGCTTTACCCAAGGAAAAGTGGACTGCTGTGATGGCAGCTGCCGCGGGGCAACATCCAAACCTATTGCGCCTGGAAGGTGAGACATTGTGCTTTGCATGCGCAGGTCATACCTGACACTTCCGATGGCAAGGTGCGGTACCACAACGATCTCATGAAAGCCTGCGGCCTCACCTTGCGGGAGCTGATCGCAGCCATGAACAAGACAACTGAGGCATCTGAGAAGTCCGAGCAAGACCGCCGTGCAAAACGTACCAGGGATGAGTGACATAGGGCAGCCGTTCCGGCAGCGCGGCATGAAGATTATAAAGGGCGAAAATGGAATTGGCGCCAAGAACACAAATGAAGCAATGTAATTTGAATTTCACTCTTCATGTCCAAAAACCCCCTGGCAAGAACGGAATTGTCCTGACCTGGCCAGGACAAAGCTCTGGAAGAGTCGGCTGCGCGCTGCTTTGACATGATCATGGCCTATAGCTAGGACTGCGCTCGTGGCCATGATGGCTTTGTGACAGCAAGTACTAGGCGCAGTGGGGCTCGCATGGCTCCCTGCGTGCCAAATCACATATCACGGTCTTTGGCCGCACAAAAGCTTCTATATAGTCTCTTACTAATAACTGATCAACAGAGCGGGCCAGCGGATCAGCGGATCAGCGGATCAGCGGACCAGCGGACCAGCGGATCAGCGGATCAGCGGACCAGCGGATCAGCGGATCAGCGGACCCAGCGGATCAGCGGATCAGCGGATCAGCGGATCAGCGGATCAGCGGATCAGCGGATCAGCGGATCAGCGGATCAGCGGACCAGCGGATCAGCGGATCAGCGGATCAGCGGATCAGCGGACCAGCGGATCAGCGGATCAGCGGATCAGCGGATCAGCGGACCAGCGGACCAGCGGATCAGACAACCCCATGATCATAAGTCAATTTTTTCACGGTATTTACAGTGTTTTTTGCACATCACACATCCCAAAGGCTGCATGCAACATAGCACCAAAAATTCAAAAATTGAGCTCCCATGCAGGAAAAACGCGTGTTTTTTTTACGCACATGACCCCAGATAGGCCCAACATAGCCTTGAAATGACCCAATATGGCCACTTGGGCCAAGATAAGCCCAACATATAGCCCTCCAACTGACCCAATATGTTGTAGGGCCGAACATAGGCCCGAAGTGGCCCAATATAAGCCCAACAAAATCGTAAATTGCCAAACAAAACCCCCAACTTGACCCTGACATGATGCAGGATAGGCCCAAAATCCGCCCACACCGCTTTGGCGGTGAAGGCGTGCTTATTGGGGGGCAACAGCAACACTAAATGCTCAATGACATTTGTTAATATAGCAGTCGCTATATCAGCTTTAGCTGGGGGGGGGCAAAAACGGTTTCGCACCGAGACCAGAATTCGGTGGTGTTTCCGACATTTTCGAGGATTTTTGTGTGTCTGAGCGCAAGAGGGTATTGAAATGGAATTTTGGGTCATTTTGGTAGCTTTCCAGCAATGGAAAAACGGCCAAAAATGAAAAAAACATGGTACATAGCAAGATTTTGCAGTGTTTTTGGATGCCAGAGCATTGAAAACACTGCAAAGACAAGTGTTTTGGACTGACGTTATAGCAAAAAACATGTAAATTACCGTATGCTTGACTGGAAGCATTACAAAAACACTGTCAAAAGCAATGTTTTGGAAGGATTTACTGCCTTTATGGCAAAAAACGTGTAAATTACCGTCTGTTTGACTGGAAACATTGGAAAAACACTGTCAAAAACAATGTTTTGGAAGGATTTCTTTTATATATATATATATATGTTGGAGTTGGCTACCGGCATTGGAACATGGAAAAATTGAAGAAAACACTGTAAATAGCGGTATTTTCAACGGTTGGGGAGATAAGGGAATTGGATGCATTGTCGAACATGATGTTTTCGACCGGTTTTATGGCGACAAAAGTGTAAAGTACCGTGCTTTGAAGGAAACCATTGGAAAAACATGGAAACACATTCAAAGAACACGGGATTTGGGGGACTATCTAGGCGTCGTTGTCTAGCTATTTGAAATTCCGCAGCTTGGAGAATCTCCAAGGGAGGGAAAAGTGAAAATTCCATAGCTTGGGAAGCCCCCACGGCGGGGAAAAGTGAAAATTCCCTAGCTTGGGGAGCCCCCACGGGGAGAAAAGCGAAAATTCCCTAGCTTGGGGAGCCCCCACGGGGGGAAAAGTGAAAATTCCCTAGCTTGGGGAGCCCCCACGGGGTGGACAAGTGAAAATTCCCTAGCTTGGGAAGCCCCCACGGGGGGGAAAAGTGAAAATTCCCTAGCTTGGGGAGCCCCCACGGGGGGGGAAAGTGAAAATTCTTAGCTTGGGAAGCCCCCACAAGGGAAAAGTGAAAATTCCCTCGCTTGGGAAGCCCCCATGGGGGGGAAAAGCGAAGATTCCCTAGCTTGGGAAGCCTCCACGGGGCCCTTAGCCCCACTCACGGACCGAAATAAACCTGCGGTGTGGGCGGCCACCCCACGCGAAGCGGGGTGAATACACCCCAAATGAATCTTAATAACGTTACTCTCCCGTTGGGGTTGAAAAAATGCTTCTACATTGCTCCGAAGGCAATTTTTTCACGGTATTTGCTAACAGTGTTTTTTGCACATCACACATCCCAAAGGCTGCATGCAACATAGCACCAAAAATTCAAAAATTGAGCTCCCATGCAGGAAAAACGTGTTTTTTTAACGCGAACGCATCCCCGCAAACATGCGCAAGAAGCAATTTTTCCTGTAATTTACAGTTTTTCTTGGACATTTCCAACACCGATTTTGACCCCCAAAAGTCTGCAAATCACCGTGCCCCCGCCGGGTGGGGGCGGTACAGATTTGCAGATTTTGGGGTTCCAAATGGGTGTTGAGAAGGTGCAAAAAACACTGTAAATTACAGTAAAATTTGCTCTTTGGGGAGAATTGCAAGGAGTCAAGTTGCTGCAAAAAGTGCGTTTCACCTGCGCGAGAGCCAAATTTTGTCGTTTTTGTTGTTTCGAGGAGGTGGGCCTAAAACGTGCTATGTGTAAAAAACACTCCAAATACCGTGAAAAACTGGCTTCTTTGCACTTTGATGTCCTTTCTTCGTTCTACATAGTCCCAGGACGGCGCAACATAGCCCCAAGATAGGCCAACAGAGAGCCAAGATGTCCCAACATTGACCTCAGCAACGCCCAACATAGTCCCAAGATGGGCCAACATAGGCCCAAGACGTCCCAAGATGGTCCAACGTAAACCTAAAATAAAGTAAACGTAGGCCCGAAGCAACCCGGGGCCAAAGACAACCCAACGAAACCCAGCATAGGCCCAAGACAACTCAACAAAACCAAACATAGTCCCAACAAAAATAAAGTGAACTTAGGCCCAAACATCCCAACAGTAGCTGCAACAAATCAGTTTTCATGTGCATTTGGCTGTATTAGTTTTCCTCCTCTAGAAAAGGGGCTACTGGGGAAGGACGGTGTAGGTGAGTGCGAGGGCCCGGTTTGACGAGTGTTTGGCCGCTGCATCCACTTGGTTCAGAAATAAAGTGACCGTAGCAACCCAACAGGAGCTGCAACAAATAAGTTTTCACGTGCGTTTGGCTATAGTAGTTTTCCTCCGGTGTAGGTGATGGGGGGGGGCGGTCCGGTACAGATGACGGAAAGCGTTTCAAACCCTTGGAAGTTTGCTGGTAGGTGAAAAGGGGGGGGTAAGGGGGGGGGGTGGGGGGGGCGGCACAGTAGCCATGGGGGGGGTGGCCCCCCCCTTTTCACCTACCGGAAAAACTTCCAAGCGTTGGAAACGCTTTCCGTCATCTGACTTGCATGTTGATGCATGCTGAACTCCAGTACTTCAAAGTACAACAGTTGTGTTCTTCTCAAAAAACCTGATATATCTTTGCGAGCCCGCGATGGACAAGCAAGTTGTGAAGAAAACAGCCGAGCTGGGAATATCTTGCATGACCTATATAGCCAGTTTTTGGGTCTACTATGATCTACCAAGTTACCCAGACATTACTTTCCAAGAGATAAAGCAAATAAGCACAGGTCAGTGCAGAACAAGGCGGTTTACCGTCTTGCAGCATGTTGTCCAGACAATCTCTGAGATACAGTCTTGAGATGTGCCAGTTGACATGTTGCTTGCAATCTCATTATATCGGAATACAAAGGCTGTTTGATGCACAGCATCTGTAGCCATTACCCTCCGAGTCCGTGAGCTCCATGTCGTGGTGATTTTCGACTTGGCATTTTGGAGTGCAAACCCACCTGGGCGACGCTGCGACATGGACGGGTCACAACGCGTGGGGTGTGCAGAGCGACATGGGTGCTATCGCTTGCAAAACTCATGTAGTTCTTCTCGCTTTTCTATCATGTAGGGTTAGATTCTTCCAAGTCTCCTTTTCCATGTCTTTAATATTTGCTCCACGTGTTTCTTATGTTTCGTGTACTGTGTCATTTTCAAGTCTCCGGATCAGCCTGAAGCGTTGCCAAGCAGGATGGGGATGCTCCGTGCGCCACCACACAACGTTCCTGGAATCTTGGGACAAATTGGGAATTGGGACAGCTTCGGACAACTTGGCAAACCGCTGCGATAAAACATCTTCAGCAAGACCAAACCAGGTACCGGTACTGTTGCAGTGCGGGTAAGCATAGATGATCATAGATGGTTTCATATGAACACACTGAACGGGAAAACAAACGTGCGACAAAGGCGGCCAATTAGTCGGGCGTCTTGTGAATGCTCTGCACTGTTTGGACAGTTCCATCGTCCCAGGTAAAATGCCGGTGCCCTGGTCGAAACTGAAATTGGTGACCTCTCAATTCAAAAGCGGTCTCTCTCACCTTAGAAAGCCGGCAGATGTCTGGAGACTTGGGCAGGTCATCCTGCATTCCGGTTCCATCACCCAATGGGCTCAATAGATCCCAATAGAATGCTAAAGTTTGTAAACATGGCAGTGGATTACTTATCCACAGTTCTACAGTAGAGGGCAATCCATGATGATCTCGGGAAGACACGGAAAGCTTCTGGACTTTTCCTCGAGGCCATTCCGCAATCATCCTGACGAAACAAAGGTGGCCGGGCAACAAGGCATGTCAAATGACAATCCACCGCAAGCGGGACCCCGTGACCAAATGAAACTCATTCTTGAAGCCTCAAAAGCCTCAACAGTTCCCAACATCGAAGACAGTCTCAAAGTGTCCTGGACTCCCATGCGAAAATGAGAGGTTTCACAGACCGTGCAAACGGTGGAAGCATCGCCAGCGGATTTGGGACTTGAGGCGGCTCTGCTTCGGCACCTCGCAGTCAGGTCACACGATGCTGGCAGGCAAATTCGAACAAGAAATGGATGTAGAAATGGATCATGTCAATCCCACGTGGACAAACCATTATAGAACCCCTCTTTGGGGGTTTCATCTTTGAAATAGCAATGTAAGCGGCAGAGCGGGAGCCCCCCTTATAGGGACGCCTCGGAGCTGGCGGAGCTTGGCCCGGTAGCAACAAATGCCCAGGGCGGCACAAAGACACGCTGTCAGCACCGGCAGCACCACCGCAGCCACGAGCCTTAAAGAAAACGACCATATCTTCAAACAACATTGGCAATTCAGCAAACTTCACCAGTTTCATGAGGTCCACACATCCGTATACATGCAAAATGTTCATGTTTACAGTATTCATTGTTCATCTGGACTTGGCTATATGTTCTTTAGTCGATAATTAAGAGTATATATATATATGATATAATAGTTATAACAATTATAATACAATTATATCATGTGTATATATATATATACATATATATATATAACTTGAATAACTCTTTCAGCAAAAGCTTCCGCCCTTTCACGGGAAAGTTGCAATCCAGTCGAATCATCTTCACTTGGTAATCCAGTCGAATCGTCTTCACTTGATGCGCTAGCAGGGCGAGCAGGATTCAAGAACGGGTCGATCGCCTGGAAATTTGATGTCCACGGCTTCTTCAGGATATCCAAATCGGCCGCAGCAGATGTGGTTGACGATTGCTGTTCCTCATTCAAGAAACCAGAACAGCTGACTAGAACGTGTAGCGGAGATGCAATGAAGCGACATAGAAGCAGTGAAGGACTGTGTTCGGTATTCCAAAACTGAAACAAACTGCACCCATCTGCTCCGGATCCAAATCTGACAGAAACAAGTCCACTCATCCACTGTTCAAAAACCTGGGTGAACTTCAAGCAGTTGGTTTGACAGTACAAGTGTGCCTCGTCATAAAATGTGAGTCAAGTGTATACCCTTGGGGAGATCTATGGAGATCTATTTAAGACATTTGAAGACTATGAAAGACGGCAGTGGAATAACAACAGGAAGGGGAGTTTTCCAACCCAGCCATATTTGAGAAACCAGATGGGACAACACAGCTGCAAGGGTTGCCGAGTATCTACTTCCAAATGTAACCTCAGAGCATGTTGAAAATACAGGGACGCGTGTGGTTGCGAAGGCGGCAACATGTGGAGAAACATCAGAACTTTTCCTGGGTGACTCATCTCTGGTGCCTGTGACATGTAAGAAACCAATCTTACATGTTAGCCAGCCACCAAATATGGTACAAACATGTACGATCCATTGATGTCCTGCAAGCTTTGTGCGCACAAATTCATTGTAGGCATGATGCCAACAATACGGTTCGGCAACCTCACAACCTTCTGAATCTGCCGAGAAACAGTGGAAATTCCAGTAGTACCTGTTCCACACTTGTGCTGGATGTCGTGCTGGCCCTGCTGCCTGATCTTTTCCGTGATGTTGTGCTAGTCGATGCTGTGGTTGATGACGTTGTGCTGATTCTGCTGGCTGGTGGTGTCGTTGATGTTATCGTGGCTGGTGCTTTTGTTGCCAATATTGTGCTGGTGCCGGTTGATACTGTTCTTGATGTCGTCCTGGTGAGTGAATTCGTGGTTGATCTTGTGCTGGTGCTGGCTGATGATACTGTTCTTGATGTCTTCCTGGTGAGTGAATTCGTGGTTGATCTTGTGCTGGTGCTGGCTGATGATACTGTTCTTGATGTCGTCCTGGTGAGTGAATTCGTGGTTGATCTTGTGCTGGTGCTGGCTGATGATACTGTTCTTGATGTCGTCCTGGTGAGTGAATTCGTGGTTGACCTTGTGCTGGTGCTGGCTGACACTGTTCTTGATGTTGTCCTGGTTGAGGCTTTGGTTGAGGCTTTGGTTGAGGCTTTGGTAGTTGACTTTGTACTTGATACAGTCCTTGATGTTGTTCTGGTCGATGCAGTCGTCGATGATTTTGTTCTGGTGATTCTGGTTGACGTCTTCGTTGATGACGCCGTGATGCTGCTGGTGGATGCCGTCGTTGACGATGTCCAGCTGGAAGTTGAGGTGCTGGACAGCACGCAGCACATGCTGTTGCCACCACTCTTCTGCGAGGGACTTCGCACGTAGCCAGCTGGACATATTACCTGGCTGCACTCTGCCTCAGCAAAATGGTGTTCCGGGCAACGCGCTTTTGATAGCTTTGGGATCATCTGCTTTCTTCCCATGGAGATTGGTGTGGTGCTCGCGCATTTCATGACATGTCACAACCTGTGGGCACAATGTGCGATGTCACCCCCCTTCATTTTGATAGGGTCACACCGCATGCTGTGTGATGCTGTGTGTATACTTGTGGACTTGTGGACAACATGGATGAATCCTTCCTATGTTTTCAATATGAAGAGAAAAAAAATGGCAACATTGCGCAAGTAGAATGGATGGATTTCCCTCCTAAAATCTCCGAAGCATCCTCAAAAACAAAACAGAAAATTGTAGTTTTTTCCGCTCTAGAATGTTCCTGACAACAGCTGAAGAAGCTGACCCGAAGGTTCCAAATTGGGTGCTCCGACCGCCCGCCTCTCAACCTCAACCTGGGCACTTGGAACTTCATCAGAAAGATGTCGTATGTTCCAGCGTTGCTGTGCCCATCCAGGGAACTTTGGGTGTCACCAGCCACCCAGGCATACTGGCCTGTGGTATCGACCTGCGCAAAATGGTCAGGGGCTGTGTAGCCCACAAATGCGCATGGAAACTGAAGGAAACCTGTACCAACTACTTCAGGAGGAACAAAGTTTATGCTTCTTCAAACCTTTACAAAACATCCCTGTCAACTGCGGGTCACATTTTCAAATGCGTTTTGTGCGGCAGGTGTGGGATAGTCAATTATCACCCGCTTTCATATACGTATAAGATTCTTAAGTTTTTGGAGGGTGGAAATGCGACCGGGGTACGACAAAGCTCCATGCTAGGATTCTACGGGGAAAGGGTGTGCCGAAGAAGAAACCAAACATGTTCACTGTGAGAAACTCAACAAACGCAACTTTTGTCCTACCAGTGCGTCACAGAACATGTGTAGCAGTGCAGACAAGAGGATGGAGACAGACATGTTATGTGGAGCAATGACCAAGCTGAGCAGATGACTTGGCAATTCCCACTACATAAGTTTTTCGTACCCTGCGTCACGGCGCATGTGTAGCAGTGCAGACAAAGAGGATGGAGACAGACGTGTTATGTGGAGTAATGACCAGGCTGAGCAGATGACTTGGCAATTCCCACTAAAAAAGTTTTTCGTACACTGCGTCATGGCACATGTGTAGCAGTGCAGAAAAAGAGGATGGAGACAGACATGTTATGTGGAGTAATGACCAAGCTGAAGCAGGTGCAAATCAGCAGATGACTTGGCAATTCCCACTAAATAAGTTTTTCGTACCCTGCGTCACGGCGCGCGCGCAGCAGTGCAGACAAAGAGGATGGAGACACACGTGTTTATATTTGTGGAGTAATGACCAAGCTGAGCAAATGACTTGGCAATTCCCACTAAATAAGCTTTTCGTACACTGCGTCACGGCACATATGTAGCAGTGCAGACAAAGAGGATGGAGACAGACAGGTTGTGTGGAGTAATGACCAAGCTGAAGCAGGTGCAAAACTCACCAGATGACTTGGCAATTCCCCGTTGCAGGCAAAGAGGCTGGAGACAGACATGTTATGCGGAGCAATGACCAAGCTGAGCAGATGACTTGGCAATTCCCACTAAACAGCTTTTCGTGCACTGCGTCACGGCACATGTGTAGCAGTGCAGACAAAGAGGCTGGAGACAGACATGTTATGTGGAGCAATGGCCAAGCTGAGCAGATGACTTGGCAATTCCCACTAAATAGCTTTTCGTGCACTGCGTCACGGCACATGTGTAGCAGTGCAGACAAAGAGGCTGGAGACAGACATGTTATGTGGAGTAATGAACAAGCTGAGCAGATGACTTGGCAATTCCCACTAAATAAACTTGTTGTATCCTGCGTCACGGCATATGTGTAGCAGTGCAGACAAAGAGGATGGAGACAGACATGTTATGTGGAGTAATGAGCCAGCTGAAGCAAGTGCAAAAATCAGCAGATGACTTGGCAATTCCCACTAAATAAGCTTTTCGCACCCTTCAGGAGGAACAAAGTTTATGCTTCTTCAAACCTTTACAAAACATCCCTGTCAACTGCGGGTCACATTTTCAAGTGCGTTTTGTGCGGCAGGTGTGGGATAGCCCGCTTTCATATACGTATAAGATTCTTAAGTTTTTGGAGGGTGGAAATGCGACCGGGGTACGACAAAGCTCCATGCTAGGATTCTACGGGGAAAGGGTGTGCAGAAGAAGAAACCAAACATGTTCACTGTGGGAAGCTCAACAAGCGCATTTTTTGTCAATCAAATTAAATCAACTCATATCAAATCAAATCAAGTCTGACAAAGCATTCTCAAATTTCATATCTTTGAAGGCTGACAACGCTGCTCTGGCTGAGACTTGCACATCTTAGGTTCGAAGAGTTTTGCGTTGAATGTTGCTGTGTTTAGGTACACTGCTCACCTGCAATATTTTATTCATCCTGCCATAGACACTCACTGGCTCTCATCAGATCTCATCAGTACATTGTGCAGAACCACCGGATTTCCAAAAGTTCAACCAGTACCTCACAAAGAATAACATGTACAATGCCGAATTCTACCAGAGTGATCCAGAGCGATGGTAGGAAATTCTCAAGCGTCTATTATTAATGCTGTTGGCAGGGCCTTAAGTCAGTCTTCAGCATTTCATGATCTCGCTGTGTCAATTTTTAGTGTGGCCTAGTCATGCCTAGTCTAAGGTCATCGCTCGAATCGGGATATCAGCTTCATGTCATGCCACTCCACATGAATGCCATTCCACCTGACTCAGAACATGGACCTCGCAAGAGAATCTAAAGCTGTTCCTCCATGGAAAAGATTCGAAAACGAAGTTGCACCCCAATCCGCCTGCAGGGCCTGAGCCTCATCCCAGCCCTGACCACCGCGCTGGCTCGTCCACTGGTGCACGCCCTGGACATCGAATTTCATCAGGAAAAGGTCATATGCGCGTGGCTCGCTATCCAGGAAAGAGGTCCACGTGCAGCCTGCCACCCAGGCATTGCCAACGTCGTCCACCTGCACACACAGAAAGGAAAACTGAGGGAAAAACCCATCAGACAGGGAAATTAAAGGACCGGATAACCCCACAAGGCAACTTCTTCCAATAATGAGCACCAAATGTCGTAGCGGGGGCGGGGAAGGAAGGAAAGACAAAGGAGGTGGTGGAGGATCGAGAAGTAAAACAAAGTTGTGTGTGTGTGTGACAAAGTTGCATGTGAAAGATGGTGTGTGACAAAGAAAGATGGTGTGCGTGTGTGTGTGTGACAAAGTTGTGTGTGTGAAAGATGGTGTGTGTGAAAGTTGTGTGTGAAAGAGAGTGTGTGACAAAGTTGTGTGGGAAAGATGGTGTGTGACAAAGTGGTGTGTGAAAGATGGTGTGGCGAAAGATGGTGTGTGACAAAGTTGTGTGTGAAAGATGGTGTGTGTGAAAGCTGTGTGTGAAAGAGAGCGTGTGACAAAGTTGTGTGAAAGATGGTGTGTCTGTGACAAAGTGGTGTGTAAAAGATGGTGGTGTGTGACAAAGTTGTGTGTGAAAGATGGTGTGGTGAAAGATGCTTGGACAAAGATGGTGGGTGACAAAGGTGTGTAAAAGATGGTGGGTGACAAATATGTATGTGAAAGATGGTGTGTGTGAAAAATGGTGTGTGAAAAAGGGTGTGTTAAAGATGGTGTGTGAAAGACGGTGTGTGAAAGATATTGTGTGACAAAGTCGTGTCAAAGATGGTGTGTGAAAGATAGTGTGTTACAAAGATGGTGTGTGACAAAGATAGGAAGCGCGCCACCAGAGCCAGCCCAGTGCCCTAAGTGCCACGCCTGCCACGCAAAACGAAGGCGGATGTCACCAAGTGCCACGCCTGCCACGTGAAACGAAGGCACATGTCGCCAAGTGCCAAAGATGGTGTGTGCCAAAGATTTGTGTGAAAGATGGTGTGTGACAAAGATGGTGTGTGAAAGATGGTGTGTGACAAAGATGGTTGGACAAAGATGGTGTGTGACAAAGATGGTGTGTGACAAAGATGGTGTGTGAAAGATGGTGTGTGACAAAGATGTGTGAGACAAAGATGTTGACCAAGATGGTATGTGAAAGATGCTTGGACAAAGATGGTGGGTGACAAAGGTGTGTGTAAAAGATGGTGGGTGACAAATATGTATGTGAAAGATGGTGTGTGTGAAAAATGGTGTGTGAAAAAGGGTGTGTTAAAGATGGTGTGTGAAAGACGGTGTGTGAAAGATATTGTGTGACAAAGTCGTGTCAAAGATGGTGTGTGAAAGATAGTGTGTTACAAAGATGGTGTGTGACAAAGATAGGAAGCGCGCCACCAGAGCCAGCCCAGTGCCCTAAGTGCCACGCCTGCCACGCAAAACGAAGGCGGATGTCACCAAGTGCCACGCCTGCCACGTGAAACGAAGGTGGATGTCACCAAGTGCCACGCCTGCCACGTGAAACGAAGGCACATGTCGCCAAGTGCCAAAGATGGTGTGTGCCAAAGATTTGTGTGAAAGATGGTGTGTGACAAAGATGGTGTGTGAAAGATGGTGTGTGACAAAGATGGTTGGACAAAGATGGTGTGTGACAAAGATGGTGTGTGACAAAGATGGTGTGTGAAAGATGGTGTGTGACAAAGATGTGTGAGACAAAGATGTTGACCAAGATGGTATGTGAAAGATGCTTGGACAAAGATGGTGTGTGGCAAAGATGGTATGTGAAAGATGGTGTGTGACAAAGATAGTATGTGAAAGATGGTGTGTGTGTGTGTGAAAGATAGTGTGACAAAGATGGTGTGTGACAAAGATGGTATGTGAAAGATGGTGTGTGACAAAGATGGTGTGACAAAGATTGGTTGGACAAAGATGGTGTGTGACAAAGATGGTATGCGAAAGATGGTGTGTGACAATGATGTGTGAGACAAAGATGGTGTGTGAAGGATGGTGTGGTGACAAAGTGGTGTGAGACAAAGTGGTGTGTGAAAGATGGACTGTGACGGTGTGTGAAAGATGGTGTGTGTGTGTGTCAAAGATAGTGTGACAAAGCTGGTGTGTGACAAAGATGGTATGTGAAAGACGGTGTGTGACAAAGATGGTGTGAAAAGGATTGGTTGAACAAAGATGGTGTGTGACAAAGATGGTATGTGAAAGATGGTGTGTGACAAAGACGGTATGTGAAAGCTGGTGTGTGTGTGACAAAGATGGGGCGGAGGAGGAGCGGGAGGACGAGGAGGAGGAGGAGGAGCGGGAGGGATACAGAATCAAAAACAAGAACCCCACACAAAGATGTGGGGAAAAATGAAGTGAAGATCAATGATAACGCGGAGTGTCCGTAAGTGTCCAAAAGTGTAGCCAGCCACCCAGGCATGGCTGTTCTCATCGACCTGTGCAAATTTCACATCAGAGCTGTTTTTTTGGTATTATGGAGCCTATACTACACACATCTACACACTATACACAAACGCTCCGCAGGGGTCTGCACGGCAGCCTTCTGGCAGGACCGTTCGCGGAGGTGTGCCTAAGCGGAGGCCACACGCAACTGGAAGGTAGGCTTCGCGGAGGTTACGCAACGCTGCTCAGCTGGGCTTTACAGTGCCACGCAGATGCGCATGGAAACTTGACAAGCTCACAGAGGGAGAAACCAACCTCAGCACTGATGGTGGAACTGTTCTTGTGCATCAAAAAACATTTCATTTAAGATCTTGCTTCAAGGCAGAAATTTCCGCTCATGATGCAATGTCGTACATTGTCCCGGCAGTGTTTGCCAATGTTTCTGCTAAAATCCAATCCTTGCAAGGCTGTTGCTGTTGTTGTTGCTAAATCTGGCAGGTCTGGAAAGAACCAAGCGGGGACAGACCCTGACCACCAGAGGTGGGGTTGTTCACATGAACGTTTCACTTGATTGGCAGTCGCAGGTCCTCCTTCATCCTCCTTCCGAAGCTTTGCTAAAGAAAGCAACAGCTGACAGAAAGTAGTTAACGTGTTCAGCGGTCCTCGACAGGCAACACTGAAGGGACGCAATTTTTTGGGTGGGATTGTGAATTCTTGATTAAATTGAAGGATGTATTTTGGTTTCCTGGTCCTGGAATTGTGTTCATTGTTCCTTGAGCATTCTGGAATTCAACTCTCTTTCCACGACCTGCGCAGCATTTTGGAGCTGAAGTGTCTTATTTACATGGCATTTGCAGGGTTTTGTTCTATACCAACCCGTTTCAGGGAAACGTTTTATTCGCATGGTAATTGCAAGTAAAAATTCTCAACTGCACGGTATTTGCAGCGTTCGGCAGTTGCACTCTCATTTTGGGGTTGAAATATATTCTTTTCAAGGTTCTTGCCTTCACAAACATTTTTTCTAACGTGTTCAAGCCTGAATCTCTCACTGTCACTTTTACAAACCTAAATTTCTCACTGGTACATCTTCTGATTATCGTCATGTGGTTGGTGTTTGCCGCATTTTGGATAAAATGTGTGTTCCTTTTTTTGTTCGAGTTTGGATGTGTCACATATGCCATATGTTTTTCTTTGCGTTCTTGTTGTATTCATTTGTTGTTTCAATGCTTCTGTTGTTTGCGCATAGAGGGGTTGAAATATCTGTTTTGACTCTGACGGCCAACGGAATTCTAGGAGATAAATGCCCGTTTTACGGAGATGTGCAAGCAAAACAAACCACCGCCCCACAACCGACAACCATCTCACAGTTCACTTTCATAACAAACCCGCCTCACTACTATTCACAAATTTGTCGTACAAACTACCATGTCACTGCCGCAACAACCCACGATCTTCCCACCATCTCACTATTCCCTTTCAATTCCGTTCCACAACGGAACCACCATCTCACAAGTCAAAACCATCATCTCACAAAGCACTTTCACGACAAAACAACCATCTGACTTTTGAAGGCAGGCAAGAAAGTTGTGTTTTTCACAACCTCATATTCTTGAACGAAGTCCCGCAGGAAGAAAGTCTCGTTTTCAAACCTTCAAGCTGCATTTCTGGGAGGAAATCTGCCACGTAATTGCTTTTGAAAGAAAGCGGGCGCACGAAATCGCATGCTTTGCAATACAAACTCCGCTGCAGAAGATGGATAGGTAAGGTCTGCGACGCGACAGTTGCAAGGCGGGACGGTCACGCGCCAGTCTTGGATCATTGTCAAATCATTCTGGGATCATGCTCGGACAGGCCGCGCGTTGGAACTGAGATGTTAATTGTTTAGTGTTGCTTTGCCGCTGTTGCATTGAGATGGTTGCGTCAATGTTGCCCAATCCTGCAGTCGCGCGCAATATTTCTATTGTGCTTTGAAACTCTGCCCTGGCACATTGCATTTGAATGGATGTATCAACGGTACCTCCTGCTGCAGAAGCCAATGACCCATGACTGAATTGATGCTGACACTAATACCTCTGCCTTTTCTGAGCCTGGACAAATTGCCAAAGCTCAGCACCAATGCAAAGCCAATATTAATGCTAAACCTGCCAAACAAGAAGTTCCTTGAGAGTCAAGTACTGGAACAGATACGAAGTCCGTGCAGATGATTCTTCCCCGGGCCCAGCTCCTTGACTCACTTCACTGACTGGTTTTGTGTGAATATTTTGATGCAAGAAGAGCATGGCACGGCGTCAGGTGCGATTTGTTCCACATGCCGCAAAGTTCATGAACGAAAGACAGGCTGGAGGCCATACATTCGAACTGAGCTGGTGTTTGACTTTGCGAAGTGGGAAGAGAAGTTTGTGAAGCTGTATCTCGCCGTTGTGGACATGATTCTGCTCAATTTGTAGGCCGCGCAGCGAACGCTTGCAAGTTGTACTCACGCCATATGGATTTTGCTGCTCACGCGACAAATCCGACTAGGGGAAAATTACATATCTCTTCCGAAGTGAAGTGAATATCCGAATTTCGAAACAATTGAAAACATACTAGCTTGGGTGCCCCACTGTACGAGTATCAGGGCGAATGCATGACATTAAATCAAACCAAGTAGTATTAACGCAGACATGCTGACATGGCGTTATATGGTGGTCACAAATGTTACACCTTTATGGCTTATACAGTGACAATGCTAGCACATCCTAAGCGCTGGTTCTGTTGGCATCCTCTGCTCACATGCAATGTTTGTTTCAGTGTGAACATAGATTATCATCATGTCCAATCAGTGAAACATGCAAAAATGTAAACAACCGAATGAGCAAAAAACGGGCTTGAGATATGTTTATCCAAACAGATCCATGGATGCATGCACACTGTGCTACAACTGGAACCAGCTATGCGAAGGCGGGACTGAAACGATTCAAAGTGTCACCGCGCATGGACGGACGCTCTTAGCAGGGTCTCCAGTAAAGGTGACAGGGGTTTCATGGTACGAGTATCCACCATTCTCAATGTGTAGTTACCGCATTCGATGCACTTCCCTTGCTCATGAGTTGCAAAGCTATTGCACCCACTGCTGCTCCGACCGCCACGACTGCTACTTTCACTTCCACTGCTACTGCTTCAGGAAGTGTTAGCATCATGGTAATGATAATGAAGATTATTGCTGTGGATTGGGGTGTCATTGCGGCAGTGGTATTGTTGTGGTGGTATTTTTGGCGGTGGTGGCACCATTGCGGTAGTGGAATTGTTTGTGGTGTTGGTGGTGCTGTGGTGGTGCTAGGGTAGTGATGGTGGTGATGGTGGTGGTGATGGTGGCCCGTACTCGGATAGTGTCTCTTCTAATTGTCTTCAGGAATATGAGCAATATGTGACCTACCGAATGATAAAAGCACTCAACTTCAACACCCAACATGTGTATATATATATATGTGTGTATATGTATATGTACCTATATACATATATGAAAATAAATAACATGAAAAACATATAAATACCATATAAGTAACATATAAATAACACATATATAAATCATATAAATAACATATATGTAAATGACATATAAATAACACATATATATGTAAATAACACATATGTAATTAACACATATGTAATAAAATAACATATAAGTAAACTATAAATAAGACATATGCATATTGTATGTATATATATATATATGCATTCCCCTTTCCCAGGCACTCATCGACCCACGGAGCTTGCTTTTTCCTGCAATCTCCGTGCCCTCTGCTAAGGCAATCCAAGCCACCACACACCCAACCCAGCTCTCCCCATAATTGAGGCAACTAGGCCAGGGTGCAGGCGGGGGTGAGGAGGTGGGAGCCGAAACTACAGCGTGCCGGGAGGTTCATGCATAACCCTCCTATTTAGGATCCATCATGCATTCCCCTTTCCCAGGCACTCATCGACCCACGGAGCTTGCTTTTTCCTGCAATCTCCGTGCCCTCTGCTAAGGCAATCCAAGCCACCACACACCCAACCCAGCTCTCCCCATAATTGAGGCAACTAGGCCAGGGTGCAACCCCTTCCACGCGCCCCCTACTGGCTCACAGTCACATAATGACCTGTGGCGGCTTGGATACAGGGTTGGGCGGCTGAGGGGATTTTGAGAGTGGCTAAAGCTTGGAGTCCAGTGTCCAGATAAATCCGGGCTGTATGGACATGTTGCCAGCGTCCACGGGTGACCAACTCATCCAAGGTACACCCATTTTTGTAGCAGCTTGTGGCACCTCCCCTTCTTAAGGAGTATGGCTTATAGAAGCCATGTGGCAACTTCAGTTCAGCCACAATTGAATGCCAGGTGTCCATAAAGGATCTCCTGGATTCCTGCCAAAAAGGTTTTCCTGACTTTGATCTTTTAAGGAGCTCTTTTACAGCCTGAAGCGCGGAGGGTTCAACCAGTTCGAGCCTTTCCAAGGGTAGAAAAACCTTCTTGGCACCCTTGGAACTCTGTACAAAAACAATTGCTTTCTTTGGTGTAAACGTAACATCCTCAGGCTGGAGCTTCAGCAGCTCTCCAGTGCGCAGGAAAAGGGCGAACCCCACAATTATCAACCAGCCAAAAATGTGCTGCCGCCATTTAAAAGCCACTCCCGCAAGTGCCAAAACCATCTCAGGTGAAATCGGTGTGGCCCGGTTTGGGAGTTCCACCTGATTCCATACCTTAACCAGTTTCCAACTCCACGGTAGGCGCTGCTTTGACTGTGGCCTGTAATGTTGGATGGCAGCCACTGTGTAGTTGGCGGTTGATTTGGGCTCACCTGTCTCCCACAACATTTCAATATATTCTGAAACCATCTCATCAAATTCTTCGAATTCTGGCAATGTGAAACTGGGCGTCAGTTGATGGAAAGAGCAAAATGCTCTGAAGCAAACGGCATAGCGTTCCTCGCTTTTTGAACTCAAAACCTGATGTCGCAACTTTCCCACGGCCCTGCGGGCTCTTGCTCTCGACTCTTTCGTATGGTTTCCTTCAAGAACTAGTCTAGGCATAGCGTCTTGAAGGCTCATCCGCTGGGTTATCTTCTGATTCTACCCAGCCTAGCACGGGGTAGATTCCCCCGGCAATCTGTAGTGCGGCAAACCGCTTCAAGAGTCGATTTAGCACCCTTGCACTGGACCGGCCTTTGACGCACACCGACAGAGCAACCATGCTATCTGTCAAATGTAGCGCCCGGCGGCGGGAAAAGTTGCTGGATCTCAGCCTCCACTCAAAGGTCTGGATCAGTGCTCTGAGCTCCAGGACATTGATATGCTCAGCTCTTTCAAACGCATATGCCTGGGCGGCATGCCACAGCCAACGGCCTGTGTCAATGCTGCCTCTTGGGAAGGATTCTGGGCGATACAAACTGCCCAAATCGAGGCGCACATCCGAGCCTCTGTATTCTTGACGCCGGATGAAAGCTGACACCAATTTGGCACTCAACCTTCGGTCCGCCTGGAGCAGTTCCTCATCGGTCTTGAACCTCTCGGAGGCCAGCTCCATGTTGCTCATCAGCGCTTCACCAGCTACGCTGCAGGTGTCATCCCGGTCAAGTCTCTCCTCCCCCTCGGAGTCTGAGACCAGACCCCCAGTCTGCGCTGGTTCTGGCGGGCGGACCAATCCTTCCAAGAATCTCTTCACTATCTGTTTTGCCCCAATCAGCTTCTTGAGGCCCATTTGGCAAAATGCCATATCCAACAGCGCGGCGACTGTGTTTGTGTGAAACGAGTTTCCCAGAGCGCTACAGCGCGCATCCTCCAACTCTTGTACCTCCTGCTCACTCGTAGGGGCTTTCTTTGCAAGGGCCAAAGTGAACCCTTTCGGGAAGCCCATCAGAACTTCCCTTTCACTTGCATTCAGTGGCCTCAGGAGCTGGTTTTCATTCACCATATAGGCCTCCGCATAGGTGTATGGTGGATACCGATACGCGCCTTCCACCCACCTTTCTTTTGCTGGCTCGTCAGCCGATCCAATCCCTGCGGGAGAGGGAGGCGGCCTCTTGCGAGGTATTGCCCTTGTGAAGGTAGGGAATTTCAGCCCCTCTTCCGCTGCTCCAGCGGGCCATTCCGTTCCCGGTTTGAGGAAAGCCACAAGTGGCTCTACCTCGGCCTCAAGATGAATCCGATCATACATGTCTCCTCGGCTGACTCTCTGCCCTGCCTCCTCGGCCACTGGAGTAGAAAGCCAGTAGAGGCGAGGTCTTCTCACTCGACTGATGTCTCCGGATTCAATCAACACAGGCCTGATCTGGAGGGCGGACGAAATTTCCTCCACATCAGCCTTGTCCGCCACCACATTCTCCAGAAACTTCAAGACCCATATATTCAGCTCATTCGCAACATCCTCCACCAACTCAAAGATTCTGACAGCTTCATAGAAGAGCGCACTCCTCTCATCTTCCAGGTGTGTTCTTCCGCTCGACAGGCGGCTCAAACTCCTGGGACCTTTGACAGGGCCCTCCGTAGGGTGGCTTCATTGAACTTTTTCACATCCCCACAAAACTCCGTTCCCGGGAATTTCCTCCGTAACAGTCTCCTACATCTCGGGTTGTTCTCAACAGCCACCACATGGTTCGGCTGGACTCCTGCCTTTTCTAAACTCACGGCAAGGCCACCGATGCCCGCAAACAGGTCGACCACCAGAACCTTCTGTCCCGTCAGTCTTCCATCTTCAGGGCAATCATCCGTTGGTACCACTCCATGATCTGCCAACCGCATGGCCTCCTCCTGCCCAGCTCTACTCAGCCTGGACGAGATACACATGCCACCTCCTGTTTCACAGGCGTCACTGCAGGTGACAACTGGGTCCACCTTGGCTCTCAAGTCGAGAAGACTCTCCAGCAGAATCATCTCTTGCTGAAGTCCTTCACTCAGGACCACTTCTTCCGCCCCCCGTGCAATCTCGACAAAAATCAGGTCCATGATCGAGAAAAGGCACCGCCTGAACTGAAGAATATGGACAGCCTTTCCGGCATACACCTGCAAGGCCTTCCTGGGGACCCGTTTCAGGGAACGAATCCATGAACCTAACCCAAATAGGTCTAGGCTCCTCCTAGCCTTCGTCCGGAGCACCCCATTCTGTCCATCAATCAACGCTCCAAGGCGCTCCGCTTCTTTTACCCTCTGGAGGGCCTTCTCCGCATTCACGGGAATTCCCCACCAGGCATAAGCCTCTCTCAGGTGCTTTTGCTCCTCGGCAGGTTTGCCTTCCAGTTCACTTGCAACGCAACGTTCCACCTGCTCAATGATGGTGGTGTCATCAAGGTATATGTTCCATGCCGGCATCTCACTGAGGTCAGGGAACTCAGCTACCCTGGAGATTTCAGCCAGCTCGTGAAGGCCCGCCCCCCCAAGAGCCTTGCTCCGGAGGGCGATCTGCCGGTGCGCAGCTTGCATCAGGCCAACTGCTGAAGACCATCCCATAGGGAGCACCGTCACTCCCAGCCTGGTTGTGCCTTCTTTTTCGATCCCTAAATCCTTGAAGGAGATCTCCTTCTCAATCACCATGTACTCAGCCCACACTTCGGGCAATCTGAAAAGGTAGAAGGCCGATGTCAGGTCTTCGCCTGACACCAGAAGATCATGATTGTCCTCCACCACAATCCGCTGGAAAGAGGCAGCTCCCGTAAGAAGGCCTGTGTCTCCCTGGATCTGCTTCATGAAATAGTTCGTAGACCTCAGATCCATGATGAACCGCAGCACCGACTGCCCATCTGGAGTGGTCTTCCCAGGTTTCGGGACTCCAAAAGCATAAGGAGGTTCTGGCCACCCAGGGTAGGACATCTTGTCACTGGCTTGACAATGCCCCTCTCATACAAAGCCCTGGCCAGCTTGCCCCATTCCAGGGACGACGCGTGCACCTTGGGCCTAGGCGGCGCGCCTTCAGGGTTTTCCAGCACCAGCCTCTCGGGGTGCTTGACTACTGACTGGAGGTCTTCCGGCAACACCGCAAGGATGTCTACCAAGCCCCCATGATCGGCCGAGGGCAATCCTGGCAGATCCATGAAGGTACGCACCAAATCCCACAGGGTCTCTAAGGCCTTCTCCTGCGGAGCTGTGGCCTGCCCGCTAGGAGTGGGCCTGTTGCCTTTGGCTCGGTCGCCATAAATGTAGTTCAGCATGACGACAACCAGGCCATGCCACGCTCGGAGGCCTATTCCCCTTAGGGCCTTGGCCGCTTGTGCCTTCGTGTCTCCTCTTCTTCTCCATCCTCCCGGTTTGTCCTTGACCTGAGCGTCATCGAGGATCTCATTCAAAGCAGCTCTGTTGTCATACCACAGAGGCAGTGGGAACAAATTCTGCATCCGTCCCTCACGCCTCGTCGGGGATTGCAGGGATCATAGAAAATATTCCTTCAACGACCCCTCCGTTGCCATCAATTGGAGGGTCAGATGTTTCACCAGCTGCGCTGATGACAAACCGGTGGGCGGTTTATCGGCCAACCATGTCCTGAGAAAACTTGATGCTACCTTGTTCACTTCAGGGATACTGATCTCGTCGTCGTCTGGCCTCCTTCTGGGCGGTGATCTGTACCGGACTTCCCGTCTGGTTTCTTCTCTTTTCGACGAGCCTTCTGCCTCTGCATCCATTGCCTTCTCTTTTCTGCTCTTCTTCCTGGTTGTCCCTTCGGAGCGGGGTCTGCTGGGTTTTCTTTCCCGCCTTTCCCTTTTCCGAACTCGTGCGAGCTCTCTTTCCCGTCTCCTCCTGGAGCCGCTGCTGCTGAGGTCAAGGGGCGGCCCTCGTTGTGCGAATCTCCGGCCCTCTTCTCTTCGAACTGAACCCGAGGGCCTCCTTTCTTTGGGGTTTGACTCCAAGCCGGTTTTCTTTCTTTCTCTGATACTGGGGCCTCTGCTCTTTGACTCGCGGGCTTCCCCCCCATAGGGTCTAGCCCGCTGCCCAACCCCTATTTGGCCTTCTGCAACTTGGCAAGGCTCTCTCTCAGCTTGGTCGCCTGCAACTCGGCGCGTGTCGCCATGTGGCGCTCGTCCTCGCGCGTCAGGGACGCCGCCGCCGGCGGGATGATCTCCAGATGGCGAGCGGTCGACCACCCTCCTTCTTGGAAGGACGCCTCTACTGCCTTGAACCTCTGCATGAGGAGGTCTAGGCTCTGTTTCAGCTGACCTCCCAGTATGGCGTCGAGTGCCATGGCCAGCGTCACGAGCTCTCGATGAGAGCGCAGTCCGATCTTGGCCGGAGGATTGTTCACCAGAACCACCTGGTTTAGGTAGGCCATGACCTTCTGACCGGTCCAGGCTCCTTCCTCTTCTGTCCACTCGGTCCTTTCCGCAAGATAGCGGGTCATCTCGTTTAGAGATCTGACCGCCAAATGCCCGGGCTTCTTTTGCGCCAGTCGCCACAAGTCCCCTCCCCGAGCTGAGGTTGTCCGAAAATGCGAACTGGCGCTGCTGCGGCTGGACCCCGTGGAATCCTCCTCATCACTGCGCTCTGCATGGCCACGGGCCTTTCTCTTTCGGCCATGGCCTTGCTTCTTTTTGTCTCGTTCCTTCTTTTTGTCTGACCTGGATCGCTCAGTCCTTCGGGCCCTCTCGATGTTCTTCTCCAGATGCTCATCCAGGCTCCTAGCCCTCTTCTATCCTCGCGCGACCTCTCACTGCGGCCCCTGCGAGGTGAGCGTTCACGGCCCTCTCTTTCCTCTTTTCTCAGAGCCTTTTCCGCTTGAGCCGCAGCTGCCTTTGCCGCAGCTTCCAAACCTGTGCCAACCGGCGGGTCTGGCACCTGATGCTCAGCTTTTTGTTGAGCTGCATTGTCCAACAGCTTCTTGCCCAGACGCGTTCCCAGCGGTCTCAAATAGTCCACCGCCAGCATAACCGCCGGACTAAGGAGCCTCCAGTGGTCCAAATGCACCAGGTGCCTGCGATCTCCTCTCGCCAGCCTTCTTCGGCAAGCTGCATGGCCGGAGCTGCACACGTGGTACACTGCTCCTGCGGCCAACTCATGGTCTGCATACCATTGGTAGTATTCGTCTGATGCTTCCCCATGGACTGCCGTTAGGAGACCTTGTGCTTGGTCCTCCCGCTGCAGTAACTTGATCACTGCACGTCCCTGAGGGGTACCATCATCTTGATAGCAGGCATACTCAACATGCCTGCCGCTTTCCATCGTTTCAATGGCGATCTGTAACGCCTCTCCTCCAAGGTCTGAGGCCGTCACCCAGGTCGCGTCACTGGCTGGTCGTCCCAACCTCAACGCTGTCTCAATCTCCCCTGGGTCTAGGCCTAACCCTTTTCCATGGTTCCTCAGGGCCTCCATGGCGGTCTTTCTTCCTCCAACACCCGGGGCTCTACCTTAAAAGGTCTGAACCGAACCGGGTTTGCTGCTACTGCTGTTTTCCGAGGCCAGCAGCCAACCCGCAAGTCACAGGCCACTCTTCCCTAAGGAAGCAGTGGCCGTCTCGACCCCCCACTGTGAGCCGAAACTACAGCGTGCCGGGAGGTTCATGCATAACCCTCCTATTTAGGATCCATCATATATGATTATATAAATTATATACGTATTACATATATATATAGATAGATAGTAGGCAACCCGAAAAAAAAAAAGTACCAACATGTTCCAAACACCATGTTAAAGTGGGAGAATCTGTCAACGGCCACAATCAGTCGATTTAGTCTAAAGACATCGCTCAAATTTTCATGAGATACAGAATCACCTCAAAAGAGGAGGAACCCACAACAGGTTGATCTACAGATCATGGACCCTAATAAGGAGTCCAGGAGCTTTGCTCCATGAAAAATGTTCCCAAGACGTCGCACCCAATCCGCCTGTAGGGCCTGAGCCATATCCGAGCCTTTACCGCCGTGCACACGAGTCCACTGATGGACCCCCTGGGCATTGAATTTCATAAGAAATACGTCGCGTCCGCCAGCATTGTCGTGTCCATCCAGGCGCGAGCTGTCTGTGTAGCCAGCCACCCAGGCATCGCCCTCGGCATCCACCTGCGGACACCAAATCGACAACCGCCTGCCCGACTGTATCAGGATGTGACCAAGAGATCCAATAAACGCAAATAAATACAATTCAACTCAGAAAAATGGTGTCAAAATTCACATCCTTGTGAGCTGACAATGCTGCAGCAGCAGAGAATCGCACGTCTGAAGGTACAATGTGTTTTGCATTGAATGCTGGCTGTGTCGGGGCACACTGCTCACCTCGTTGATTTGCTTCAGAGCGGACATAGACGATAAATTAGATAAAGATATTAGTCAGTAGCTGCATGAATAAACTGTCCATCTTATACAGCAAACCAAGACACAGGTGTACACGTACCATAAATACTTATATGATCTTATATGTGTATGCATTCTAATTGAATAGTATAAATAGCATGTATAGGTTCTTTATTATATTTGTTATTCCTATTATTATCATTATTCGTGTTATTGTTCTTGTTGTTGTTGTTGCTGTTGTTGTTGTTCATGTTCATTATTATTGTTATTATTACTATTATTATTATGAATTGTAGTAGTCATGTTAATCATTATGATCATTATTATCATTATCATCATTGTTGATATTATTATGTTTATTATCAGTATCGTTTTATTGGTATCATTATATTAATATTATATATATGATATATATAATATATATATAATATAATATATATATATAATATAATATATATATAATATATAATATATATATAATATATATATATATAATATATAATATATATATATATATCATATGGTGCTTGATCAAAAATTGTTCATCTGGAAACGGCCATTCTTAGCGCAATAAGATTTAACTTTCGCGAAACTTTTGCGAATTTCATGTCTATCTTTCGCCATTGTCCAAATGATCATGTATAGATTGCTTCATGATAGCCTAGTAGACATGCCGCTAGCATCACAGAATCCGTTCTCAGGAGAGACTGTTGCTTGTTTGGTAAATATTGAATTACATTTGTAAGGCTTCCTGGGCCACCCCCTTCAAAATGCACCTTCGCTTTCTCCGCTCTTTCGCGTAACTTTCGCGGAATTTGTGCGAAGATATCCCCATAAGTTACAGTTATACGTGTACAATGTGATGACTCAAAATATCATAACCTCTGCGAAACTTTCACTAAATAAGTTTGATTTTCGTGAGCTCGAACAAAGACTTTGGCGAGGGTTCAAAACACATAACATGAAGGCCCGTCGCAACCATAACTCTTACAAGGACCTTTTGATCAACCACCATGTATACCTTGTCTACTGATGTATACTCAGCATAGTGTGTATGCATGTCTATGCATGTCTGTGCTATTATATGTATGCTATGTGAACACCAGCAAACATGTGCCAACATGCACCAAAGAAACGTAAAACGTATGAATGTGAGAGAATCGTTCTAGCGGACATGCAGTTAAAACTCAATTGTTCCAAGCTTTGAGGCCCATGAACGCTGCGCGGCCCCAAGTCAGTCTGGAAACCATCTGTCTTGGCCACGAGAGGTCAACGGGGTTTACTGACATGAGTTCAAGACTTTCAAGACAGGATCCCAATCTGTCGCTTTGGTCTAGAAACGCTCAAACTTCCATAAGATACGGGATATCACCTTAATAGAGGCACCCAACAGGCTGATCTATTTGCCACTCCAAATAACTCATGATTCGGACCATGGACCCTGTAAGGAGTTCGGAAGCTTTGCTCCAGGGTAAAGGATGACGCAACCCATCTGCCTGCAAAGCACGAGCTTTGTCGTCACCGTAACCCCAGCGGACACGAGTCCACTGATGGACGCCCTGGGCATCGAATTTCATGAGAAAGACATCCAATTGGGGACGAGCACCAGCAAAAAAGGCGAACTCCTCCAATTTAGTCTCGCCAGCCACCCAGGCGTTGCCCTTGGCATCCACCTTCGCACACCGAATCAACAAATGCATCTCCATGCATGCCCAATATACATACTGGATTCACTGGGGGTGTGAGCGATAGATTCTCAAGTTCCCAAGTCAGTCTGGGAACCGTCCATCTTGGCCAGCAGAGGTCAATAGGGTTTTCGTCCAGCTCAAGACACGCTCCCGATCTGTAATAATGTTAAAGCTTGTCCTACAGTCATCGCTTGAACTTACACGAGAAACGGGGTATCGACCTTGTGAAGGCACACAACAATTTGATCCATTTAAATGGCAATGCCACACACACGACTTCTTCTGAAGCTTTGCTCCATGGAAAAGATTCCAAAACAAAGAACGTCACACCCCATCCACCTGGAGTGATTTAGCTTTGTCATCCCACTGATCACCGCGCTGGCGGGTCCACTGGTGGAGACCCTGGGCATCGAACTTCATCAGGAAGACGTCAGCATCGCCCGCGTTGGTGTGCCCATCCAGGGAGCTGTCCGTGAAGCCTGCCACCCAGGCGCTGCCATTAGCATCCACCTGCGCACACCAAATCAACAACTGCATGCCCCACAACTTCCAAGTTCCAAGTGGGTCTCCAGTCAAACCATTGTGGACATGATCCCGATCTTTTGATAATTTAGTCCAAAGTCTAAAGTCATCACTCGAGGGTATTGACCTTGTAAAGGCACCAAACAGGTTGACCCCAACTGGTGATGCTGATCCACATGACTCGGAACATCGACTCCCTCAAGTTCTGAAGCTTTCCTCTACGGAAAAGATCCTAAAACGAAAGACTTTACACCGTGACACTCCCTCCGCCTGCAGGGCCGTTGCCCAATCACTGCCCGCACCACCGCGCTGGCGCGTCCACAGGTGCACACCCTGGGCGTCGAATTTCATGAGGAAGATGTCAGATTCGCCCGCGTTGGTGTGACCATCAAGGGAGCTCAACGTGGAGCCTGCCACCAAGGCATTGCCAACGTCGTCCACCTATGCAAACTGGTGCTCCAGAGAACGCACAAGGAAACCGAAAGAAAAACTGAAGGAGAATCGACTCAGACAGGAAACCCATCAGAAGTAAAGATTTGAAGATGACACCAAATTGACAACTGCATGCCCCACTCTTTAAGGACGAACCCAAGACAACAACTTAGACAAAGCGATCTTATGTTTCTGTCTTGTTGGCTGACAACGCTGCTCTTGCAGAGACTTGGACACAGATTAATCTACAAATCGGATCGCAGTAGGTGCTTGCTATGTTTGTGTACGCTGCTTGCCTGCAATTTTTGCTTCAGTCCAGATATGGATTCTCGATCCTTGTCATCAAATCTCACCGGCATGGCATGTGCAGTTAACAATAAAGAATGATCGAATCAAACAATTTATATACTCTCCCAGACCCACAACCTATCTATCTACACTATACTGTACTGTTGCACACTAGAGTATGTGACACTTGATACAGATACATTTATCATCATTTATCTACCTAACGGATTCACTGGTGGTGCAGGCGATAGCTTTTCAAGTTCCCAAGTCAGTCTGGGAACCATCCATCTTGGCCAGGAGAGGTCAGTATCGTTTCGTCAGCTCAAAACATGATCCTGATCTGTTGATAATTCAGTCTAAAGATGTTTAAAGTTAGTCTAAAGTCATCGCTCAAACTTTCAGGGGATATGAGATGTCGACCTAGCACAACAGATTGATCCATTTGAATGGTGATGCTACTCCACGTGAATCCCAACATGAACCCCGTAAAGAGTTCTGAAGCTTTGCTCCGTGGAAAATGTCACAAGATATCACAAGAAAAGCAATGTCGCACCCCGTCCGCCTGAAGGCCATAAGCAAAGTCATCCCTCTCACCACCGCGCTGGCGCGTCCACTGGTGCACACCCTGGGCATCAAATTTCATGAGGAAGATGTCCCGACCGCCCGCGTTGGTGTGCCCATCCAGTGAGCTTTCCGTGTAACCTGCCACCCAGGCGCTGCCATTAGCATCCACCTGCGCAAACTCATCTGGACTCTGCTGCAAAACAAAACAAAAAAGAACAGGAGAGAAAGGGTGAGAAACCAATCAGGTAGGCTCCTGACAGGAAAGATTGTTGCAAAAGTTAAATGTGACACCATCAACGGCTATGTGTCACACTGTCTCCGAGTTTTCCACTAGGAGGTTGGTGTCCTCTGCGCAGTGTTTGGTTCAGTCTATTATTCGACTCTCAATGGTTCTCATCAATCAAATCTCATCAGGAATACAAAATCCTGAAAACACGTACGTAAAGCACACAATGATCGCAAATGACCAAAAGGTTGAACTTCTGCCACGATTCAAGGCCCCGGAGGGTTCACAGACTTTTCCACGGTCTCAATTTAGCCCAACCTCATGGCTCATGTCAACCTTACAGAGGCACCAGAAGAATGATTGCTCCGCAAGTTGTGAAACAATGGAACATCGAAAGGACTTCTCTAGGACTCTAGGCTTCGTTCCATGGGGAAAAAGTTTAAAAAATGGCGTCGACACCCGTCCGCCTGCAAGGCGCGAGCCTTATCTTCTTTCTCACCACCGCGCTGGCTGGTCCACTGGTGCACGACTTGAGATGCAACTGGCAGAATCACAAGGCACAGCCAAGGGATTGCCATGGCTTGAGATGCCCCAACATCTTGTGACCGGACGCGCTGTCAGAAACTAAACGTGGCATCCACCCATCACAAGTCTTCAGGAACCTGACAATAACATAGGATAACAGTTTCATGAGCCAGCTGTGGGATGAATCAGAGAAAATGATGGCTTCAAGATGCTTGGAACGCTTGGAATATTCTTCCAAATCCAATAGCAGAATATCAGGGCAGCAAAACCACTGCACCCTCTGTGACCCGTCCAGGCATGATGCCACTTCTTCCCATGTGCGAAACCCTCGGCATCCTGTGATCCAAAAACTTCCCGTGGCAAATCAAAACGAGCTACAAATCCTAGGACGATCATCTTGAACTCTGATCCATCTGTAGTCATGATGGCTATTGAATTCTGCATGAACATTTTGATCATCAGCTGATGCTGCATGGATCATCACCCGTTTTTTTGTCATTCTGCTTCGGAATTCCCCTTCAGACTTCAGACATGGGCCATTTCGCGGTGTCGCTACATGGGAATTCCTACAATGAGCAGAATGAAGGTTGACCTGGTTTCACCGTAGTTCCAACATTTTACTACCGACTTTGCAAAAAAAGAAAAACACACCTCGGAAGGGTCCACTATGGCCCACTGCTTGCCATAGTCTTTGCTATGTACATTCCCCAAAACTTCTGACCGCCAGCGCCATCTCTGCGCTTCACAAGGACCACCTTCCGGCTGCTCATTTCATGGACGTATGTTTCCTTAGGTCCGCTTGCTGGTTGAGCCTCTGCCGTGGATGTTGGTTGGTTGCATCGGCTGATCTTGAACAGTCTATGCTGATGTTGTCAGTTTCCAACCTTCGTTACAGGAGACTTTTAGTCATTATATCTATATTTAAATATATATATATATACTGTTTCAAATCCAATCCTTCCAAGCATCAGCATATTCACCAGCACGGTGTAGTTCCTTTCCAATGGCGGGATCAACGCGTCCCCCTTCTGGCGCTCCCACCACTGCGCTGTGCCGTTGTGGTACAAATCCCGTAGAATTTCCCACAGTGGCGCTTTCATGCCTCGGAATGGAGTGGATGGATAGTTGCAGGAAGCTAGTCAGAACCTCACAAGCGACATGGCTTTAACACAAAGAATGGATGGGTGCCTAAGAGATTGCGTTGGTATCCACCTGCATATACTTGCAGTGCAGTTCTTCAATGTGAACACCGACACGTAGCCATACAATATGACGCCGCATATAGCCGCTATGAAACTAGGACCACCCCACTGTCGCTACCAGCTCTCTGCCAAGGGGCGATATCTCCACATATCGACTTTGATGAACCTCAGCCCCACATCCTATGTCTCCCGCTTCTTTAATCTTCTTTAAGGGATCGCTGAACTTGCCCTTTGATGTGTATGGGGACTCCGAAAGGGGTATATACCTGTTTGGACCCACAAAAATGAGTTGTATTGTGTCTCAGACCATCTCAACATGCAAATAAGAACTTCGAGCCACAGCCAAATGTGTCTTGCAAAAAATGTTTGACTCTACATGTTCCCTTTGTGATCTCAACAAGATCGCTACATCGTCACGCGGCTGAAGCCTATGGCTCGCAACTGCACCCTATCAAAATGTGACACACCTACAAGGGCCCAGCTCTTGAAATAGAAAAAAACATTATATAATATTATATATTCATTACCATTCCATTTCTTGGGGTGCCAGCAAATTCCGAGCCTGGTGCCAATCAAATTTGGCCAGGCCGCTTTGGAATCGTCCGTTCACCTTCAGGCCCCTCAGGATAGAACGCCTTGCTGGTGGCTACCTCTGGTGCAAGGAGTTGTAGCACCAACTCATCTCCTGCAACGAGCCAATGGGTCCAATGGCCCATGCAATCTCCAACAATGCCTCTGATGTTATACAAGGTGCTAGGTAGATTATGGTAGATTACATATTCATTCATAGATACAGATAGATACATCATGATACATCTATGCATTACTGCGATTTACGACACATACAAGTCTTCTTTGACCTGCACATGAGGTCAGGTAGATAGATTCTTGACTGGGAATGGCCTGCCCAACTAAACTCCAACAGAGATTGCTGCTTGAAGATCTTGAAGGCTTCGGCTTAGAGGCTTAGAGCCCTGTTCGTGCCTTCAAGGATCTTTGCCAAGAAGGACCACATCCAAGTCTCTCTCTGCTGCAAATAGGCTTGATGCGGCTTGAATCCCAAAAACCAAATGTTCCTTGATGCGGCTTGAGCACAAAAGGTCTTGCAATTTTGAGTCAGTCTCCCTGTGTGTTCTCGAAAAATACTGCATAGACTCTATAGCCACGTCATTCACTATTCCCACGTATGTTTCAAAAAGAAGACCAGGACAGCTCAGGATCAAAAAAAACATGCCAAGCCAAGCATATACCATGTTTATTCCCCCGACCGAAGAGTTGGCTGGCAACTAGCACTAAAAATGCCCTAAAATGACCTAAAATGACCAGCCAGTTGTGAGTCCAACTTGGCATTTGCTCCCCAGTTTTTCGCAAAAACCCTCCAGCTGAGATGCCAATCCAGGCGATAGTGATATGGAGCACACATACATGGCCTGCGGTCCAAACTCCCAGGTTTGCAGGGAAATTCCAACTCGTGCCACCGGCGCTTGTCGTGCGACACCGAGACGATGGCTTCGTAGCCTGGGTGAGCAATGCATTCAAAAAGCTGGAGGGATTGAGGTGAAACCAAAAACATCCCATTGTTGCATGTGTTGATTTTTTTTGGAAGGATCTAAAATCTGCATCTATTTCATTTCTATGAAACAGCAATAGCAGCTATATTGTTGGTGGCAAGCAACCTCAGCCGGCATCACTTGACACTCCCTTCAAGAATTGCTAACTCAACAGAGTGTAACGTCTCTTGATTCCAAGTTGCGCTCCTTGCCCACATTCCCAAATGCGCCATAGGTGTTGACGAGTCGGAACGCTCCAAAGGATGCGTTCATCATCTGCCGTCCTTCCAGTTGAAGAAGATTCTTCACCTTTCCCCCATTTCAATCAGATCCCCGTGTTTCAACGTGTGTTTCTCCTCTGGCTGACCTACAACCACGTACAAGTAGTGATGATCTTCCACAGGGACACTGTAGTCTTTTAGTGTACACTGGTTTTCCACATTTGTTTTCTTGCTGCTTCGTCGAACCAGTCCAAGAGCTACCTCTTCGATTCCAACCTGGAATAGCAGGTCACCCCAACTATTCATAGCCTCAATTCAAATCCAAGAATTAAATGAAATTAAGTCATACAGTAAAGCAAGTGTGGGGTTTGAGCATCTCTGGATACCATCCCTTGCTTCCAGGTGTTTCTGCCAGGCCACCACTGGCATGGACAAATAGGCAATGGTCCCAACCAAGGCCAAGTCCACGATCCAACGCGTTCCCTTGGCCAGCATGGCACCCGTCGGGGCCTTGGCGAAGGTCTTTTGGGTTGAAACCGCTGGGATGCTCGTTGCAATCGTTTGGTCTGTCATCTGTGAGTGAGTTTCTCTTTCGACCTGGAAAATATGCCACAAAAAAGCCGGAAAAAAAAACTAAAGGCGACCCAAAAAAAACAGAATTGGTTGATTTGAACCCACTCTCCCAGCATTCAACGGCCAGCGACTTTCCTCTGCTCGTCCGCACCAGGCTTCGGTGCAACTCTTGACCGCCACGGCGTCCAACATGCGTCATCCAGACACGCCAGGGCCGGGATGATCGTCATGTGATTTAGGAAGGATAGGTTGCCCGAAATGGCCTCAGCAATTGGGGAAAACAACTGGAGATATGACGTTTTCAGAATTTCGATCCAACCTGCTGTTGTGGTGATGGAGTCTGACATTTGCGGATAATCTATTAAATGGTTTAGGCAGCCATCTAGGAAATTTCAAGAAACTGGTCGGTGGGGAATTTGGATGCCAAATTGGGGAATATAGTAGTATGTGGTAATTAATGACGTTCCTTTTTACTGCAAAGATGCAGGCAGATCATTGTTTTGAAGAGGTCATATAAAATCTCATGTTGGTCAGCTTCCTTTGATCGATCTTTCAGAATCCAAAAAATCTCATCCTTGCCATCCATCCATCCTTGAGCCACTTGCCGATGAGGCACGATGTTGAACATAAAGAGCGCTTGTATTAGGCCTCTCCGGTACCGGTTTTGCTGTGGGTTTCTCAACCCAGAAATATGTGTGGGATGTTTGTGGACAAGCAACAAGAATAAGAAGATGCCAGCAACACAGCAAGAAGTTGTGAGAAATGCATTCCAACAGACTATAGACGTGGCAAAGCACAAGCCGCAAAGCAGATTCACATGAACCCTGGTACTTGCAAGCTCCTGACAAGAAATCTACCAGTTTCCCAAGACCGCAAGACCCAGTCTCTTCCAGCCTCCTAAGCGTCTGAGATATTTCAAAGGTCCGAAGCCAGGGATCAAGACCAACCAAACTGCGTAGAGTTGAACGAAGATGTCCAGGTCCACCCCACGAGACAGCATGTGTCCTGGGCGCCAATGTGAGCTATGCCGCATTGGAGTTTCTCCACCCCAGTTGATGTGTTGTCGCTACTTACTTCTCCGAAGCCTATATGGAATAAAGCCCTAAATCAGATGTTTACCACAGTTACAGCTATATAATGCTATATTTATATATATACACATCATAGGGTAAACCACCCCTATATGAGATGCTTGCCCAAAAGAATGTCTGTGCTGAACCAACCCCTCACGATTCCTGGGTCCAGCACACGCCTTTAGGGAGCCCTAAGGATTCTGCCCAGGGACGAGGCAAGAAGTGCCACAAGAAGGACAAGGGTGATGGGTTCCTGAGAGCACGAAGCAGTCACTTCCATGTGAAGATCCGTTGTTCATCGTTGTTCATCATTCAGTGGCACTCAGGATGTGTTCAAAATGGGCTCACGGCTGGATTTTATGTTCTCAAAAGCACAAAAAGCTTCACATGCGGCTATCAAAGCCAGTTTCTCAGGAAGGCATTGGTCAATGAAACAATTCAACCCATGTTTTCCCCCTAAAAATCCAACCAATCCAAGTCCACCGTCACATAGAAATCTATGCCCAGCATCGGTTGTGTTTCGAAATGGTACCACAGGCAGGTGCGATCCGTCCAACAACTGGAACCTCTCACCTTGATAAGGCCAGCACCAGTCGAAATCCTGCGCGTTTCAAGGCAAGGGACCAGATAGCAACAGCACCTGCTGTAAGGATCCAGATACGTTCCTCATGTACAAAGGTTCCAAAGTGCACCATGTGAACCAGCCGCAACCACCCAAATTACTTCTCCAAGATAAAGGAGTGTACAGTGTACTTAATTGCATGTTACCACTTATCAAGTGACTATAGATACCCCAATCCGATAACGGAAATATAGTGACTATAACCCAGTTCTCATTGCACGTGGTCCATCCTTGGACTGGCTTCCCAGCATCCCCCGAGCTCCTGAAGCACAGCCATCGAAAGAGCCACAAGACGGGCAGCGATGGCGGCGTTGAAAGGTGTACTGGTGAAGATAGGAAGATGGCCAGAAAGCCTGTCTCGAGGAGCCTGGAAGGCAGTGGATAGGGGGAACTGAGGGACTTTTGACAAAAGACGTTCGAAAGATTAGACAAACTGCCCATCTGCTTGACCATGCTGCAAAACATTTGCAGAGCATCGCAAGATTGAAGCTGTTCGGCCGTCTTCAACAAGTTCACCTGCTAATGGGGGTTCTCATCAATTCTGGCCAGCTGAACTTCTCTGGGTGGTTCTTGAGAAGAGATCATGATACCTGATGGAACAAAGATGTTCCCCTAATTCTTCTAGTGTGACAATGGAAATACCGTTTATATCGTTTATAGAGGATATCGATATCCTCTTGAAAGGCCTTGAAGGCGGGAATGTTCCATTGGTTCCTCCATTTAGGCCCTGCAGCAAGTATGTCCACCACCTTGATCCATCAACACACCACTGGTGTCCTCTTTGCCGAGGAGCTGACTCTCCCAACCATACGCGTACCAGGCCGTCCCTTCACCAGAGGTCACAATGGAGAAGTACAGCAACCACAGGGCTGCACACAGCAACGATGAGAAGAAGCCGCCTAAGGGGCAAATCCGGAAGAAGAACTGCATGTGACAGGATTTTGCTACATACTGCAGTCAGATCTTAGTCTCCCCAAACAGAAAATCACAATTTCAAAAAGGATCGAAAAGGAAATGGCATCATCGACATCATTATCTCATTAGTAGCATCAAACACATTCAGCAGCAGGTTGGCTGTCCAAAATTCTCAGGCCAGCGGCAAATCAAAGCCAGGCTTAGAGCCATGCCTACAACTGCCACCAACTGCATTGAGTCATCGTTCCTTGGCTCTTCTTGGGGCGTTCCAAAGTGGTGAAATCGCTTGAAAAGCTACACCCACAAGGCCCCCCATTAACACACCAACCCTCTTCTCACCGGCGAAACGACCCGGTCACTCCCATCTATCTCGGCCATGTTTCAAAGAAACAAACCAGAAAATGCTGGGAGCTGCTATAAATCCTGGGCCATTGGACAATCACCCCTTTTCCCCGCTGGAGCTCCTGTACACAAGACAGCTTCAACATCTGCATGTTCTTATTCCGTGGACAGAGGACAGCAACTGTACCAGTATGTATGGCAAAAGAGTACCAGCAGATCATCGTGGTTTTCATGGCGGTGAGGAGGCAGAAGATTGGCAGAGGACCACAGGTGCTGATGAGGAGCCCTCTACAGCTCTGGAAGAACCCATCCTTAGTAGCACAGCGGTCAAGTTGCTTCACTTTCGCAAGGGTGCATAACAGGCCTGGTGAGCAAGGGCAATCACTGTGACACTGATGCTCGGTCAGGAAATATGTCGTGGAGATTGGAAGACCAATGACCTGCTGGGCTGGCCACTAAGACATGAGCTTTAGTTGGAGATCCGATCACGTCAGCCAATACACACTTTGGAGTGGACATGGCAATAGCTCGACAGTCTTCAAGTTCAGCATCAAGAATTGCAACATTTGTAGGTCCATCGGTAGCCCACTTTCGATCAATCGCATTACCTTACAGGAAGCCCAAAAGAAAGAAACTCCTATAGTTGTTTCACCAAAAAGACTGAAGACTAAGCTGTCCTGCAATTCACATGGTAAATGCTCGGGAAATGACCCATTGATCCTTGTTCCACACGTTGTGCCCAGCATCTGTTGCTTCCGCAGCTCGAACCTTTCAGCCACGGGAGTGAGCCCGGCAGAGCCCAAGAGGGCCAAGTTCTGGTCATACGCCACCTGCACCAAGTCATGGATTCCAAGGCTGTGAATGATATGACGGATGAAATGAGATATGTTGGCAATATGTGTATACATAACATGTTAATTATTATGTATGTATGATATATGTAATCTATGATAGTGAGAGAGAAGTTAACGATGAGTCTTGTCTTTCCCTCCTCGAAATCATGTCATGTTCAGCCTCCTGCTATGGAAATTGACGCTGAGTGCTACAAAGAGGTCGATCGCTGCTCCGAGCCTTGAAGGCAACGGCATAGATCAGCCCCAGTAGTCTCAAAATCACCGACTTCGTCACCAGAAAACTTTGGACTCGAGGTTGGAACGCTTCCTTCACCTCGGGCCATGAGGCGCAGTGATACCACAATTTCATGACAAAACATTCGCTGATGGTTTGGCTCCTGGAATCCCAGGAGTCCGAATCCGATTTACCAACCCAACACCGGTAGGCAGTGATTGGTGACTGGGCGTTGCAAAGTCAAGGCAAGGATCCCTGGCATCAAAACAATCCACCAACAATTTCAGGCAAGAAGATGCCAGATGCAGAACCTCAGAGCCTCAAAGTCATGATAAAATGATGATACGGTGATACTGTAGTAAGTTCCCTAACAAAAAATATGATAAACATAGATAAATGAATGATAAATGGCTTTTGCCAAAAAACAAGGTGGGCCAGAGAACCCAAAAGCAAGACGGCACACAGCACGCCTTTTCTTGAAAATCTTGTGGTGTGGCCAGCTGTGCTCTGCACGAAATCGACGTAAGATCTTTACTTAAACATCGTGCGCACTGATGGTATCAGGGGCCACGATTCACCACAGCATGCTGTGTCAGCTACGCCTACAGTCTTCTAGTCGCTATTTCTGTTAATGTAATTAACTCTATCCCATCTGTCTAGTCGGTATCTATTTCTGCGTTCTCGTTTAGTTTGCTTCGCCGCAGAGGGAGCGAGGACGAAGCGTGGACGGACAGAACCAAATGAAAATTAAACGACAGAGGGAGCTGACCAAAAGAGCATGAAAACGAAGATATATATGAAGGTGACAGATGGCAAATGATCATGAAAAATGAGACATGATAAAAGATGGGTAAAGACTTCTCTGTACAAAAGCTTCTTTGCATAAAAGCTTCTGCAAGTAAAAGCTTCTGTGGGTAAGAACTTCTCTGTGTAAAGGTTTTTGGTGTAAAAGCTCTTGTGTGTAAAATCTTCTGTGTAAAACGCGCTCTGTGTAAAAGTTTCTGTTTGCGAAAGTTTCTTTGCGTACCAGCTTCTGTCTGTAAAAGCTCCTCTGTGTTAAGGTTGTTTGTTTGTGTAAAGCTTCTGTGTGCAAAAGCTTCTCTGTGTAAAAGACTTCTCTGTGTCAAAGCCTCTGAGTGTACAAGCTTCTCTGTGTAAAAGTTCCTCTGTGTAAAAGCTCCTCTGTGAAAAAGCCGCTCTGTGTAAAAGGCTTCTCTGTGTAAAAGCCTCTGTGTGTGCAAGCTTCTCTGTGTCAAGACTTCTTTGTGTAAAGATTTCTCTGTGTAAAAACTACTCTGTGTAAACGCTTCCGTGTAAACTCTTTCCTGTGTAAACGCCTCCCTAAAGACTTCTCTGTGTAAACCCGTCTGTGTGTAAAAGCTCCTTTGTTTAAAGGTTTTTTTGTGTTAAAAGCTTCTGTGTGTAAAACCTTCTGTGTGTAAAAGTTTCTGTGTGTAAAAGCTTCTGTGTGTAAAGGTTTCTGTGTGTAAAAGCTTCTGTGTATTAAAAAAACCTTATGTAAAAGCTTCTGTGTAAAAAAGCCCCCTGTGTGTACAAGCTTCGCTGCGTAAAAGCTGCTCTGTGTAAAAAATCCGTGCGCCGTAAAGTTGTCTGTTTGTAAAACCTCCTGTGTGTGTGTGAAAGCGTCTGTGTGTACAAGATTCTGTGTGCAAAAGCTCCTCTGTGCAAAGACTTCTCTGTGTAAACGCGTCTGTGCGTAAAGGCTTCTCTGTGTAAAGGCTTCTCTGTGTAAATGCGTCTGTGCGTAAAAGCTCCTCTGTGTAAGACTTCTCGGTGTCCAAAGCTTCTGTGTGCGAAAGTTTCTGTGTGTAAAAGCTTTCCTGTGTAAAAGTTTTCTTGTGCAAAAGCTCCTGTGTGAAAAACTTCTCTGTGTAAAGGCTTTTTTGTGTAAAAGCTTCTGTGTGTACAAGCTGCTCTGTCTTAAAGTTTCTGTGCGCCGAAAGAACGTCTATCTGTAACACCTTCTGTGTGTAAATCTCGTTTGTGTAAGGACTTCTCTCGTAAAAGCTCCTCTGTGTCAAGACTTCTTTGTACAAAAGGCTTCTCTCTGTAAAAGCCTTTGTGTGTACAGGCTTCTCTGTCTCAAGACTTCTCTGTGTAAAGACTTCTGTGTGTAAAAGCTACTCTGTGCAAAAAAGCTTCTGTGCGTAAAGGCTTCTGTGTCAAGACTCCTCTGTGTCTGTGTAAACGCGTCTGTGTGTCAAAGTTTCTGTGTAAAGGCTTTTTTTGTGTAAAAGATTCTCTGTGCATGTCCCATTTTTCAGCCTTTGGAAACCGCTTGACCGGTCTTGGGACCATTTGACCAGTCTTGGGTCCACAATTTTTTCAGGCCAATCGCAATGATGGCATTTGTCCTGAAAAAACCCGTGCCAACAGCTCTGCCGCAAACTATTTGCCGCAAACTATTTTCAAGGTTTCCTATCCGTCCAGCATGTTGTCTCGCTCCCTCCAGCGAAGCTCTCCGCAAGCTATTTCCACGGTTTTCTCCCCTCCAGCATGCTGTCTCGCTCCCTCCCAGCAAGGCTCTCCGCAAGCTATTTCCACGGTTTCCTCTCCGTCCAGCACGCTGTCTCGCTCCCTTCCAGCGAAGCTCTCCGCTAGCTATTTCCACGGTTTCCTGTCCATCCAGCATGCTGTCTCCCTCCCTCCCAGCGACGCTCTCCGCAACCTATTTGCACGGTTTCCTCTCCGTCCAGCACGCTGTCTCGCTCCCGCCCAGCGAAGCTCTCCGCAAGCTATTTGCACGGTTTCCTCTCCGTCCAGCATGCTATCTCGCTTCCTCCCGGCGAAGCTCTCCGCAACCTATTTGCACGGTTTCCTCTCCGTCCAGCATGCTGTCTCGCTCCCTCCCAGCGAAGCTTTCCGCAAGCTGTCTCGCTCCCTCCCAGCTCAGCAAGCTATTTCCACGGTTTCCTATCCGTCCAGCATGTTATCTCGCTCCCTCCCAGCGAAA